TATCTTAATGCTTGATCTCTCAGGCAAACTAGCAGCTAGGCCGGATTAGAGATTAGATTAGGAACTTTTTGGAGCTATCATGTCGCCGGCCGGTTGCATCAGTGTGGGGCCCACGCGTCATCCCCTCAATGGTGATAACTAATGGGATTAATTAGCCATGGAAAATAAATATTAATTAATCTTAACCAATGGTGATTAGCGTGAGGAGGAGCTGCCTAATCAGGGGCCACTGGAGCAGAGTGGAGCAGGGGTTAACACTGGTGATTAGCAGAGATAGAGAGAGAGAGAGAGCTGTGGTCGCTGTCTGATTCTGCTGTATTATATTCCCCTGATGGCATCCGGACAAGCGTCAAGAGGGGACGGACATACCATGTGCCACCTCATCCTCGTGATCCATGGGCATAATTGCTAGGTGCACACGGCGGGGTTCTGGTTCCGGCCTCGATGGGTGGCTGACGGGTGGGGCCGTCTCACAAACCGTGTGCGGCCAACGTGTCGGCTTTGCGGAATTCTTGCTAGTATTTCTTTTTTTTTTCAAAAAAAGTTTTTATTCAACACGCAAGGAAAAAAACGATATAGAGATATGATTGTTGTAAACAGCTCAAACACGCTGGCTACATGAAACCCTAGCGGTCTGAGTTTATACCCGACAGTCCCATAAACCCTTAGTTAGCATACGGACTCGAACATGTGATCTCCCCTTCCCGAATTCAAGTGGTTTTAACCGCTGGGATGTCATTTGACTTGTGAATAGTATCTCATATGTCATTTTCCCCTTGTAAATTGAGCTTTCGTACTTAGGTCTCAGGTAGTAAGTATTTCCCGAATATATTTATCCTATATCCCAAAATAACTGATCACTTTATTACTTATGAGTCAATTATGAGAAAAGGTAAATGACCTAGATGCCCTATACTAATAGAGATGTCACTAGTGGGCTGTAGTTGAGGGTATAATAAATATATATAATTTTTAAATTAGAGGTTGGAAGAAATTTTGGATTGGCAAACAATATTCACTTATTTAGGGATAATTTTTGAATTTTGAAATTTGAGATGGATTGACAAATAGTACTACTTGTTTTCCCGTTGAAACTGGTAGGGTAAATACTAACAGTTTGTGTCATAAAACTGCTACACCTTCACATGATGTCTTGTCAGAGGTTTTGTTTAAATCTCTCACCCTTTTTGTGGAACAATAAAAAAGCATTACTCCTGAAGCAATGGAACACTCCCAAATCCCAATTCACCTTTTGATCAGAAGCACATGTACATGTACATTTGTACACAAGCTGCCTGTCTTTTTTGCTTTGGTCCTTTTGGGCTAGGCTAGAAAAAGCACTCATCCAACACATGACTTCCTGATCCATCCAACACTTTTATTTTTTTTCTGCAGCAAATCATCATTCAGATGGTTTGCAAAGCTGCCATTCTTTAGCATCCAAAGAGATCAGATGCAAAAAACTTTTTCCCAGCTACTACAAGACGGCCAAAAAGAGGAAGCACACATGAACACCAATCATTAGCAGATAATTGGCACGGGCTTTGGCTTTTTAGTAGTGCCTTCGCTCTGAATCGAGTCAAACAGCACAACCAAAATAAGAGTTGTTTGCAAAGTGTGAGCATGCCATCACACGAGTGCAAGAATTGTGTATTTAGCAACCAATCAATCACAATCATTCTTTCATTCATTCAGACTTACCAAAAATTTCTTCAGAAGATGGTGGTTCTTTTCCCCTCTTCCTTTTCCAACCCATATCGACATCGATATCGATATGCTTGAATTTCTATTCATGTATGATTTTTTTTAAAAAATGCGGTCAAGGCGCGAATTATGAGCCAGAATATAAGCAAAGTCTGCATCAGGACAAGGACATGCTCCTCCCCATCTTGCAGTCGCAGTTTTTGAATCTGGAGACCCTGAAAACACACCAACATGGAGAAGAAGAAAAGCTAAGGATTCAGCAACAGGGACCCCTGAAAACTGGATCTTCTGATCCACAAGGCAAACAAGAACACAACAAAATTGGCAGGACGAATGGTTAGTTTGTTAGTACAAGAGATGGACATAAGAAGATGATAGGAGGAGGAGGAGGATATTATGAAATGCATAACACCTTGATGATAATTGCTTGCTTGGATTTATTTATTTTTTGATGAACATGAGGACAAGCCACTGATCAGGCTTCACAGAAAATCGAATTCGTCGTTGTCGCCAAGTTGTAGGTGTTCTTGGATGCTTGGCTCCGTTTCTAACTGAGAATGTAGGGTGGTGACAGCAACCTTAGCTGCAAATCTGTCCAAGGAAAACTGTGGTTTGGTAGGATAATATACTGATGATGCCATTGTTCTGTCACCGGTACAGATTCAAGAAAGAGATGTACAGTACAATATGAGCTAGATGGCACTGACAATTGGCCAATCTCCAGAGGTTTAGAGACCCATAATTTCCTAAACCCTGCTGCTCCAAATGACTAGCCAGGGCCAAGTCTATCAATAATAAAAGCTGCTAGCTGTTTGCTCATAGATTTCCTTCATGATAATCTGAGGGGGAAAATAAAGACATGAATGGTCAAGGCTATGATTTGGACATGTAAATAAATACACATACTAGAATAGTTAATCTCGGATTTGATTCAGACATGTAAATACCTGAAATATGGCATTTAAAGTTTCTTATTACTGACTGACAAGGCATGAAAAAGACATGTAACTAACATCATTATTCTTTTGCATTCGCCCCCGGTTCTTCTATCTCGCGCTGTTCTTCCTATGTGCATTTGGCTCAATCATATAGAGCAGAATGACCTGTTTAAATTAACCACAGTTAAATAACAGTACAGTACACTGTACACCATACAAACAGGAAGTATCCTATTAGCAATTTAACAGGAGCAGGCTTGTCCCAGGAGAACTGTAGCAGCTGAAATGCAGAGAGGCCTTGGACTTCAGACATGAACTGAAACGGATTCAGGAGGAGTTGCTGTTTGCTGAGGGGAGGGTGTGTGCCAGTTTGATGAAGCAGATGTCCCAGTGGATCTGTGTTTGTCAGCCAGCCCCTGTGGAGGATTAATTCAAGTGCAGTGCAAGTGAGAAAGACAAGAAATAAAACGGTGTCGGGACAGCGATCGCCGATCAACGAATGTAGGCGCAGTCAAAATTCAGCTCTTTTTTGAAAACTAGAATGAAAACATTCTGAATATTCAGTTTGGTTTGGTCCCATGAGACAAAAACAGGTCAGCAGAAAAAGGTCAAAAAAGAGAAAAAGTTTGCACATACCATATAGTTATTGAAGTAGAACTGATCAAGACATAAATGGACTCTGGAATTTTCTGATAAGTGGTTAGGTCCAAAAGCTTGTAGTACTAGATAATGCCGCGAAGTTCAGGTCAGCACTCAGCAGACAAATCATGTCATATGAAACAATTTATATCCAGGAAGAAGGACGCAAGCTCATTGTTTCCTAATTTCTAGCCTTTTTCATTTTGAGTGGAGGCATACCATATCTTCTTCTTCTTTTTTCCTTGTTCTTTTGTGTGAAAGAAATGACAATTCATAATATAGCTAGAAAGCAGAAAGTGTCAAATGTCATGATTCTGAAGGAGGACAAAACAAGAAGGAAGCTGAGGCAGAGATTCATCATGAATATAAATGGTGAGCAAAGGCAGAAATGACTCAACAAGTCATTTCCCTTTTCCAAAAGAACTAGGACAAGAAGAGAGCTTTTGCTATGATCATCCTAACATGCATTGGTCTGTTTTAATGAGTCAAATCGTTGACTGAATAAAAACAGCAGAAATCTTCTCTGACATCTGCTGCTCAAGATGACAAAAGGGTAACCTGCCACACACACACACTAGCAGCAATCTTGAAAGGAGCCAAGGGATTTATTGTGTGAAGCAGGTTTTCTTGAACTGAAACTGTTTTTGAAGCCAAGCATGCATGTGAGCTACAGAATGGAGATATTTATTTTCCTTTGTCCGGTGAAATGAATTCGGTTGTCAGTGTTGCATATTTTGTCGAGGGCAGAGTTGAATTGCAATTACTGGCCACCAGCATGTAAACAAATGGAAAAAAAGAAAGAGAGAAAAAGAGGGAGAAAAAGAAATGCATTTTGCTTACTTGACGTTCGCCATTGTTAGGGGAGCGAGAGAGATTCTTGAATGATAAAAAAAACTGACCTGCTGATGCCGGAGGATTGTAGGTTGCAGGGGCCATAGTTCTCAATACCTCGACGGCGAGAAGGCAGAGAGGGGAGCGCCGCCGCCCTGGCGGTGATGAGGCGGGCCTCGCCGGCCGGCGTGCTCAAATCCGGCGGAGGTGATCGGAAGAGGCTTCAGGGTAGTAGGACAGTCAGCGGTGGAAATGGGCAGTAATTTCCTATTTTATTCTTTTTCACTCGTTTTGTTTTCCTTTGGGTTAATTTGGGTTTTCAAGCTTAGGGGGTATTTGAACTTTTTTTTTTTAACTTCTTCATATCCTGTGTGATTTTCAATTTGCTAGTCACTAACTACCATGAAAAAAAAATAAGGTAGATGCTATTACGCATAAAGATGTTATTGTTTTCACTTTAGAGAGATACCGACGAATATTACACACATGTGGAGAATTTAGTGAGGTTGAGTATTTATTCTTGATTGATTTCCATTTATTGCGCGTACTAATAGGAAAAAGCGTTTTTTTAAGAAAAAAACTAAAACAAATGAGAGTAAATTTCTTTCTTTTTTTATCCATATTCTTCAATTTCAGTTTTGAGTAGAGTAAATTTTATAAAAAATAGATGGAACTAAATTTTATAAAATTTTAAACTATTGTAAAATTATATATACACTTGACAGAGTATCACAAAATACATATTTGACACTAAATTTGTAACAAAACTATATCTTTTGTTGCTCCAACAAAACATTAGTACCAAGGTAAATAAATCAAAACATTAATGCTAAGGGTTTAAACTCTAAAGTCTATAATTTCAAGATAATTTAATCATTGAAACTATAGTTTTGCAATACTTCATCTTATAAATGTATAGTTTCATAACAAATTTGGTAAAAATCTATGATAACTTTGTGATATACATACAACGCCTTATAAATTTACAATAGTTTGATTTGAGATATCTATAGTTTTGCAAAATTTACCCTTCCTTTTTTTCTATTATATCTAGTTGCACAGTTCGGGCCGGATAAATACTCAAGGATTTGCTTTATCTCCAACGCAGACACAATGATAATATCAAGGAAAGCGACCAAGTAGCTACCCTCCACAGCTCCATTTCTTTGGGGCCTTCCGTTTTCGCCTGAATTGACATGCCAAGGAACTTGCTTATCCATCTCCAGTGTCACCCAACGCATACAGGTCGTTCAGGTCTTTTCTAGTCGGTTGCTTTCACCACTGACACAAATATTCGAGCAACTGACCACCGAGATAACAAGCCAACACAGCCACGACTCTCTCATATACGGTGGTAAAACCAGGTAAAAAAAAAACTGACAGTTCCATCTTAACTACCTCTAATGAAAAGGCCATCGGAATGAACGGACGGTTGCTAAGATCAATTCATTTTCATCAGGAGCAAAAAGATTTGACTGTTTAGTGAGATAGTAGACAGTCGCTGTCACTTGGGCATGTGATAGCAGCAGTAGAGAGGGACATGTAGTTCAGGTGATTGCTTCGCATGGCAAGCCCGGACTGATGAAACGGCCATGTGAGCCCTCCCAGCGATCATGTGAAATGTAACTCTGAACCGATGCAACAACACCCGGGATTTTGACAGCAACTAGGCACGGACAGATCCAAACCATGTTTGAGATGTAGCAAGCAACGATCACACGTTCCAGCTCATAACTGGGGCCCCTTATCTTCTGCACTTGTGCCCCACGGCCTCCACGGATAGTTTCACAAGCAATTCTGAACCAAACGATAGGACGGAATCCAGATTCCAGAGTGCTATGTGCATGTAAAGCTTAAACCATTGCACTGATGAAACCAGAGGCTGATGCTGGTGTCCTGTGAAGGACCCATGGTTCTGGCAGAGATGTAACCCAAAATCATCATGTTGTTCGACGACTAAAACGGCAATCTTCTAGCTGCCATCGTCACATGGCAATGGAGTAAAGCTTTTGCCTCAAGAAGCTTGATGCCCTGAAAGCCCCCCAAAAGAGAGATTGATAGATTAATATTCCTTTTATTTTCTACTTCTGATAAGCACACTAAATGCTTGACAAAAAAAGCAGATGGAGAAATTGCTTTGTATAATGCCCATGTTCATGGCGAAGCATCTCTCAATAGACAGCGCAACAGAAAGAAATGTGTACCGTAATGAATCCACCCGACAACAGCGGTACCTCAAAAAAGCAGCCCTTGTACAGACATGAATGACACATCAAATCTCCATTGCTTTACTAAGTCATATGGCGCTTAGCATTTTCATAATCCCAAACAAAGAGATAAACACCAACTTTCCAATTCAAATCTGCACATAAATTCAACATTCAATTATTGCATGAAACAATTACAAGCCTGCAGTTTTTAAGTGTACATGATATTTGGATGCATATTTAACGTAAGAGTAAGAGCACACTAGTTTTTGAGTTTCCTATTATGCATTTAATCCAATAATATTGAAACAATTGTGTTTTGACCTTTATTTTATGGTAACTAGGTGTATTCAACAGTCACCTTTATTGAGGAACATACTTAAAACCTGTAAAAGAAGACTACGTAGTTGATTATGTTATAGAGGAACAAGCAACAAAACGATCCACCTAGGAATTAGAAGCCCATGTGCAAAACACTGGGGCCCTAAATTTTTAAAAACACTGTAGAACCAAAGTATACCTTCACTTAATATGGATTGATGAAATGAACAAATAAACTCCTATTTCATAACCAAAATCATACATTTCAGAAGACACGATCGATGAGGACTGATGAAATAAACAAATAATTTCCTGCTTGTTTATAACATGAATTTGAAACTTAGAGAAGAAAACAAATTGTAGGGAAATGTGATGGCACAGTGAACTCACGAGCTGATGGATGCACACGGGCATACTCCCTTTTGCTGCACTGTTGGCTTCTTGCTGCTGCAAACTAATGAAGATTAGGAATTGTGATTTGCTGTTGTATGCCTGCGCGACACCAAGCCATCGAGTAGCGCGTGGGCAGCAATGGAGGAGCCAACGATACAGTCTTTGGGCCTGGTAGTCCTTGTGGGCCTTTTTCTTTTTTCATTTATTAGGCCTTGTAATTTGCTGGTAATTAAGTATAGTTGATTAGTACTAATGATAGATTTATTTGGGGACCCCTAATTTTTGGGGCCCTGAACACATGCACTTTGCACCGGCTAATGTATGACCCTGCCCTTGAACTCATAAACCTCCAAAATAACACTCCACAACTCAGACAAATACATGCACACAAAATAAACAGTTGTTACTGGCATCATAATTCATAGAGTCGCAAAAGTATATGAACAAAGAAAACTTCCAGTATGTGCACGAGTAAAAACAGGGAAGCAGCAGCAATATGGGAAAGAAATTGTCACCAAAGTTCTAAAAAGATTCAATCACAATTTACTTTTATCATGTTGAACCTACTTTACTATCTGGTCATGAGAAGGAAAGAGGTACTCTTATAGAAGTTGTATTGATGGCGTGTTCTACACCCACCCACTCTTGAATATTTTTTGTGGCTATATACATGCAGGCATGTGTGCCATGTGCTATTTGTGTATTTTCATTTCTAAAAAATACTAACTTTAGTACGTGTATAGTATATATGTCGATGTTGATTGATTCGTGTAAAATTGAGTATTGTAGAATCTTTTTTAAAAAATTTGAGGGTAATTATTTTTTGATATTGTTAACCTAGAAACTTATAAAGTTTATAGTATAATTTGCCATCCATTGGTACAATGCTAATAAAAATATAAGACCAAAAGAAAAAAAATATGGGCTCTGTCTGAGGATGTAATAGTTTTGGAGTTTTCGTAGAATACAGTGGTTTCCAAAAAGTACTATAGTATTTAGTTTGAGAACAGAAAATACTGTAGTTTTCTCAACGCTATGGTTTTTCCACTCCTGGACTCCTTTTCTTTTGTAAACCAAGAAAGTGAAGCGATTCCACAGCAGTTTTAAATATTGCAAAGTCTTGGGGTATAATACTGTCTGTAAGGTAGTTTTAAATCCATCTCTTATATGTGAGCAAATCTGGGTTTACAGATTGAATTAGCTAATGATCGTTAATATGTGTAAAAGCTAGGGCTACGAGCCTACGACACAATGGTACATTGATACATAGGAGTTAAAAAAGCTATGCATAGAGACATCTGTCAGTACACGTTGATGCTTCACATACCCATCTTCTAATTCCATGCACCCAAGATATCTAAATAGAACTAGCCAAACAATTCTTTTTTGAAAAAAAAAACAGTAATGTGGTAAATACTGCAGTTGCCAAAACAAGAAACTATGGTTTTTGCTACAGTGTGAAAAATGTAGTATTCAAAGACTGGCGTATTCATGGATGCAACAAACTTGGAAGTATTGCATAGAGTAGTTCTTTAAATCTGTAGCATCCTAACAGGGCCTACATTTACAGGCCAAAAAACATGCATGTTACAATGTCCTAGAATTCCTAATAGCTAAGCACGAGAGAAGTTAAAACCATCGATCTAATCAATCATCTTCTAGAAAAGAAAAAAAAAGCAATCATTGAGTCACAGATAGTACTGACATATATGTTCGCATATCAACAATGACCTGGAACAGTTTAGAATAAACATTTATTTTATTATCCCAGTACTACATATAGGGCCTGTTCACTTTGATGCCAAAAAAAACCTTACCAAATTTTACCATTGCCAAAATTTTGGTAACTTGCCAAAATTTTGGTAGGATTTCTTATATAGTTGCTAAAATTTGGCAGCAAACTAAATGTAGCCACTTTTTTTGTAACTTTACCAAAATTTGGTAAGGTTGAAAATGGCATCAAAGTGAACAGGCCCATAAAGTGTGTCCCATGAATCATACGAATCATGTCAACTTTTTCATGAAACTACTGACTCAAGGAGTGCATTTATGACAACACTAGGCCTACATCTTCAAAACCATTCACTAAATGGAACTAACCTGTGGATTGAACAGAAGTGCATTCATTTGATAGTTACCAATCTTCAAAATCTGACAGTAAATATTTGCCCCAAGTTCTGCAAAATAAGTCCTGAATGAAATTTATTGGTAACTAAAGCGCAATAAAACACCACAGACAATGTTGTTCTCTTTTCGACATACCACATCAGCAGTTGCAACTTGCAAGATGGAGTTACAGCAATAAAACTGGTGTGCGGAATACAAAAAATGCTGCACAATCTCATGGGCACGGGTTCATCACTGAACAACATCCAAGTATGCTGCAAAATTCAAGGAACATTTATTTAACTACCAATGCATATATGTAGTCTACAGGTATCAAAGGCATAGTAGTAGATTCATACTTCTCTCTAATTGCCAGAACCAAACAAGAACTCCTGCAAAATCCTGGAGGCCTCTGAAACTTCATGCTGAGTGCTTACTGAGCTGGGCACTGCAGCAGTGGTAGGCAAACTATTTTTCTTTGGTTCTGAACATGGATGTAGATTAGCTTGTTTTGATGAGTCTTTTTCATCCAACAGTGGAGCTGATCTATGTCCATTGTGCTTGCCAAGTTTTTTCCCGTCTGCGGGTTGAGGTCTTCCAAAGTTCTGATGTGGACCACCAGTTGGATTCTTATGCTTCTCAGTGGACACAACATCCTGATGCAAAATGCTAGAATCTGGTCTGGCTTTATTGAAAGGAAGAAACTGTATACCCCTTGGTATACGAACAGGTACCTTTTGAGCATTTCCTGATATGCCAGCAAGGTTTTTAAGGATGGAATGATGTTTGATAGGAACAGAGGTTGCAGGTTCACCACTGTATACTGTTGAAGTTTTCTGACGACTTGTTTGCTCTTGGCAATTTGCTTTTTCAGGTACTGATGACGCATTAGATTTCTTTGCATCTGGTGTGGACGGACCTTCTGCAGTTGGTATCTGACAACGAGTGCAAAGCTTGCTTAATTCACAGCATTTGCTAATATTAAAATTTAACCAGGCTATAACACCAATAATTAAATAAGAGTGAATGATTTGTTAAATTACGTACCACATGAGAAAATTTGCATTTATCACCTCTGATGCACATTCCATTTTCCATAAAATTGTGGCAAGGGTACTTTGACAACTCATGATCATAAGGGCAATCATCTCCTTTCAAACAAGAACCACGTGCATAATGCGTGCAGGGCTGTCAAGGCAAAAAAAAAATCAGGATAAAATTCGCAAAACCTCAAAAGGACAGATACAACAGGAAGTTTAGTACCAATACTTGGATCAAGATTTGGGTACACTTCAGTTTATGATTTAGCACTATACTGATACGTATTCATAACATGTGCAGTGCGAACCTGTTCTGTGCATGCTTTAAAGTTCAAATTCAATATTGATGTCACATTTTCATCTAAAAAATAGGTGGTATGCATAGGTGCGTACAAAATGAGCTCATGCTTGCGTGTGGGCAGACCACATAGAATATATCCACACATATTAAACAGCATACATGCATCTTATTATAATACATTATGATTACTGCAAGCATGTGATAAACTTCTATGAAATGGATACCTTAGATTTTGTCAAAGGTGTCGTATCATGGGAGAACTTGCACAAATTGCCCTGCAATAAAAAAATAAGAAATATTAGGTACTACATCCGTTTAAGGTTATAAGACTTTCTAGCATTGCCCACATTCATATAAATGTTAATGAATCTAGGCACACATATATGTCTAGATTCATTAACATATATATAAATGCGGGCAATGCTAGAAAGTCTTATAATATGAAACAGAGGAAGTATTTTATTAAAGTAAATCCTGTGAAAAGCATTTTTACAGTCTTTGTAACATATTTATATAGAAAACATAACACATATACAAAGAATAAAGTGGACATGTTACATGATGAAAACAATATGATTATATAAACAGTGTTCATCATGGTCTAAGCTCTCAGGCAGCACACCAGCGCCTAATCAGCAAATAGACAGACCTAGGCAGGGCTAATCGTTACCAGGTGCTATCTAGTGGACACTGAATCAAAATATGCATCCTATGCTACTGATATGGCTAATCACTAAATTACACAAATATAATCAGTGTGTCCAGAAAATCGCTACAATATGTTTCAAGGCCAGGGCATGTGCTGTGCAGTTTACAACAGCAAAGAATATAATTTTTTGTCGATCCAAAAGTGAAGCAGATGATGACTACCATCTGTCTGATCTGAGAGACAGACTCACCTGCTGGCACTTCCCATGCAAGTAGAAGTGGCAAACCTTCACCACTTTAGGCTTTATAACTGGTTGAAGTTTCAGTCTTTTCACCCCTTCGGCTTCCCGTTGCAATGCTCTCTTAATTCGTTTAGTTTTCTGCATATTAATAGCATTGAAAGCAAATCTTAATATTTCTAAAGGTAAAAACTATTTGAATGCACAGTTCAAAAATGTTTATACATTGGAACCAAATGGTCCTGAGATCAGAACATACCGTCTTCTTAGCTTTTCTCTCCTCTGTCAAGGTGCGCTTTCTTGTGTTTCCATGTTTGAGAGCCTGCAATATTAATATAGAACAGACTGAAAATCCATACTTACGTAGCTAAGAAGAAAATCTTAACACAGACGAATCAATTGTATTGTATATTGTTCTTAAAAATCTTGCATTGTAAATTGACTGTGATTAACTTGAAGTTACAAAGAAAGTCATGAAGTGTGAACACTCGAACTGCATTCATTGTACTCAAGCAAGGTATGTATGCGATGATTAAAAAAAGCTACTGAATTCAGTTAATATGAAACATCAAACAAGAATTAATCAAAATTGTGCATAAACAATGAAGCAACAAAACAGCGTATGGGTACCAAAAAAAGAGAGAATATGGCAAGCTTGTACGCATTTGTGGTTGACAAAGAAGCTATACCTTATCATCAGGCAAAGGTGTCTCATTCCAATCGAGAACTTCATCATAACTGACTGCTTGCGCCCTGGCAACATGCATTTGAGAATCACCCTTGCTATTACATAGCATGTTCCGTGCAGTGTCGCCATTTCCTTTTTGAGGTATCAAATGCAAATTGCTCTTTAAGTCATGGCCACATGACCCATCCTCCTCTATCCTTCTGCTATCAAAATCCTCTTCCAATTCCACATCATCTTGAAGCTCTGAATTGCCAGAATCATCTGCATCTAAATTCTGCGTGTCGCCCTCAATCTCTCCTTCCTCAAAACCACCACCACCATCCAGTGACCCATGATCTAAACTGCACACAGATCTGTCATTGCCAATCCCAGCTCCCAATTCTTTCACCTCCTCAGCTACTCTGTCATCACTCTGCAGTTTATCTCCAGATACTCCACAGCTCTGCGCCGACATTACACAGGCACTAGCATCATCAATCAACCCTGACAAGTTGTTCATCATCGCATCGAGTTGCAATTGCTCATTGTCATTACCAACCATTTCAATCACCAATTCACTATCCTCCCCGTCTAAGCAAGCCTGCATCGACCTCAAAGCCTCGTCATCCCCCATCAGTCCAGCCCCAGCCCCCAACTCATCGCCATCGGCATCAGCCTCCCCGGAAGTGCCTCCGGCGAAAACAACCTCTTCTACACCCTCCACCCGCTCGACCCCAGCGACTCTACCCTCCTCCGTCCCCTGCGGCACCACGCCGGGATCGGTGGTAGGGTTCACGGCGGCGTCCGGGGACGCCGAAGTCGAAGGCGTCTCGTGCGGAGCATGGTTTCCCAGAGCCACCTCCACCTCTAAGTTCTTCCCCCGATCGCCTCCCACGTCTGCAGGAGGCGGCGAATCCCCATGGGGAAGCCCGCCGGAGCCGCCGGGAGGGATGGCGGCGGCGGCGGCAGGCTCGACCTCCGCGTCGGGGCGTGCCGCGTGCCGCGGAGGGTGCAGGTGGAGGCAGTGCGAGAAGAGCCGGGAGAGCGCGCGGTAGGAGGCGCTGTCGAGATGGGCTCTCCGGCGAGAGAGGACATCGGTGGTGGGCGGCGCGGCGGCGAGGGAGGCAGGAGCCGCCGCGGGCGGGACGGGCGAGGGTTCCTCCATGGCGGAAGGGACTGGATGAGTGGGTCGGAGCTAGGGTTTAGGGTTCGCAGCTGTGAGCTGTGCGTCGCCTCGCCGCGGCTGCTCGTCGGCGGCGGCGGCGGCGACGTGGCGGCGAGACGAGAGGAGGAAAACCCATCGCAGGGAAAGGCAGAGGCGGCGGCAAACGAGGGCGCGGCCAGAAGCCCAGAATATAGGCCTAGTAATTGGGCCTAATGGGCCTTGCTACAGCTGGTTGAGTAAAGGAAAAAGACCACTTAGACTCTCTTAATAGTTCACCGAATCTAATTCGTGACCCTTAACTAGAAAACCGGGTAGGACGACTCCCCGAATTATTGAAACCAGTGCAATTTGACTCCTCTAGCGGTTTTGGAGGGCGGTTTCGCTAACGTGGCACTGACGTAGCTTTACAATTAAAAAAATATCTGTGGGACCAATCTATCATTCACACACAAAATATATTGTGGGACCCACTGACATCTGGAGCCCACGTGTCATCCTTTCCCTTTCTTCTTCCTCCTCCCTCTCTCTCTCTCCCTTCTCTCTCTCTTCTCTCCCCCTTCGGACGCACGCGAGGAGCGGGAGCCAGATCGGCGACGGCGGCGGCCAGGGGCTGGAGGGGCGACGGCGGCGTGCGGGCGAGGGCTGGAGCGGCGACGGTGGCGTGCAGGCGACGGCCGCGCCACCGCCTGCCCCGTCTCCAAGCCGGCCCACCGCTGCTCCCCCTCCTTAAAGTCCCAGAGCTGCAGCCTCTGCTCTCCCCCATTGGTCGTCGCCGCCGGAGCAGTAGCAGCAGCGCCGCCGCCGCCTGCAAGGAAGAACGAGAGGCCGGCGACCTCAGCCGGAGCGGCGGCGAACCTCTGCAGCAGGCAGGGGTGCTGCGACGGCGGCGGCGGCCACAGCGAAGCTGCGACAACATTGGACTGAAGTGTGCGCTGATCGAAGGCGGCCACCGTGGCGTGCTGCTGGTCCTGCGAGAACGCGAGGTGGGGTGGCATCGCCATCATCTTGAGGTGGGGCAAGCAAGCGTCGCCTGCTTGCTGCTCCTGCTGATGTTGCATTTGCAATGGCTTGCTGTTGCTGATGTTGCAATGGCTTGTTGCCGTTGGTGTTCGAGCAGTGGAGGAGCTCGGCGAACGCGCCGCCGCCGCCGTTGTAGGCGTTGCCATTGTTGTCGCAGGGGGCGTTGGCGAGGGAGAGCACGGTCCGCCGTTGCCGATCCGGCTCCCGCTCCTCGCGTGCGTCTGAAGGGGAAGAGAGAGAGAGGGAGGAGGAAGAAGGAAGGAGAAAGGATAGACATGTAGGCCCCACATATCGGTGGGTCCCATAATATATTTTGTGTGTGAATGCTAGATGGGTCCCATAGATATTTTTTTTAATTCTAATGCCACGTAAGCGCCACGGGGATGAAGACTAGATTAGCACCGCCACGTCAGCAAAACCGACATCCTAAACCGCTGGAGGAGTCAAATTGGACTGGTTTCAATAATTCGGGGAGTCGTCCTACCCAGTTTTCTAGTTAAGGGTCATGAATATTCGGTGAACAATTAAGGGAGTCTAAGTGGACTTTTTCCTTGAGTAAAAACGGGTGGCCTTTTTACGTCGGAAAAAAATACGAACGATTTTGCTAAACTTTTGTCGGGTGAGTTTTTTCTACTATGATATTTGACATTTTATTGGCCGTAGAATCGTGCGTCGAGATTAGTGTAGGAATCAGCGACGTTTCTCACTCATTTCCCCACTTCGGGCCTGTTTGGCACAACTCCAGCTCCAACTCCACTCCTCCTGGAGCTGGAGCTCAGCCAAACAGCTTCAGCTCCACCAAAACTGGGAGTGGAGTTGGGTGGAACTCTCTCACAAAATGTACTAGAGTTGTGGAGCGGGGTTTAGGCAGCTCCACAACTCTACTCCAGACTCAACTCCTGAAGTTATATTTAGGAGTTGGAGCTGTAACAAACAGGGCCCTTCCTTATCGCTCTCTCTCACCCTTTCTTTTCTAAATAAAAATAGATAGGCAGCCCCCTGTCGTCATGTAGTCGATCTTGGGCAAATTGCTTTCGAATTCCGATATATAAACGTGGAAATATTTGCAAGGCATGGGGGCCCTGGTCAACCAGGAGCTCGGCGGCTCGCGCACGGTGCAAGTTCAACAGCAGCAGCAGCAGCCGGCGTTGGACTTCCAGGAGAACATCCTCCTCCTCGTCGGCGACCTCAACGCGCGCGAATGCCGGCCAAAGAGGAAACCATCGTGTACGAGGCGGATCCGGACGCACTCACCGTGGACCTTGTCGACGATCCGTTGGTTAAAGAGTTCCGTGACAAGTTAGTGGATGAGGTCCTCACCATCGATGCCGGAGATATGGAGGCACTATTCGAGGAACACCAGGAGAATCCGGAGCTGGAGAGGACGCTGATGCTGATCTCTCAGTCCGACCAAGACGCTGATGCCGCCGATGGCGACACCCCATGAGACTCTTATTACCTTTCTTTGACGTGATTTGTCTCGGACTTTCATTTTTTCGGCCCAGCATGTGTTGGGCTGTGATTGTTTCTTTTCTTTGACCTTTGTCAAGTTTTCTTTCAGCCTTAGTAACTCTTCTATTTTTTTTTCTAGATCACAGCCGAATTCCTTCCTTGGATACCCTACACGTACTACTACTACTACTTCTGCGGCCGTGGATAAGGCGGCGGAGACGGACCACCACCTGGCCACACGTGCCTGCAGGCGCTGCGTCTTGATAATTCTGCCAACGGAGAAAACCCATGAGGAGGAGTTTATATTTATAGGACGTGACTAATACTCGTAGAGACTATACTCTATACTGTATTAACTATAGACCAGGGTTTCCCAAACCGCCGGGGCCGGGGTTACCGCGCACCGGCAGTAAGCACGGTTACCGCGCGGTAACCGCGGTAACCGTGTAAAACCGTACAAAACCGTGCAAAATTTATAAAAAAAATTAAATTATTTTTTAAATTTATTTGAATTTAAGGATGTTATCGCGGTATTTATATTACTATACCCCCGCGGTAAGCCTGGTAACCGCGGTAACCGTGTGGTTACCGGCGGTAGGGGAAACCTTGCTAGAGACTCATTTCAAACCTTGTTGCCTAACTAGTACACCAAATGTATACATGTGTACAAATTTAATATTTCAGAAAAGATTATATGTACAAAATATATCTATTATAAAGTTTCTATGCGTAAACTTTTCTACGTATAAATATTTATTTTTCTAGACCGGAGTAACACGCTGATAAATTCATTCTAAATTTAAACGTACAGGTTTCATAGGTACAAAAATTACATTTAAATTACTCGTACAGGGTATCTGAAATTTGTATAAGTATAGATCGGTGTAAAAATATGTATATAATCTCTATATTCTTTTAAAAAAGTAGTGGTGGTGATAATGAATTTGCCACCCCACCTACCTACTTCTATTATGAATTCTGCAAATTATCTCTTCAACTTGCTAATATTTAAAACAATCAAAATCTGGATATAAAGCCACATATAAATCAAATGGATAGCCACATGCCACACATTTTCTATAGCAAAACGATGGGTAACATGTTTCATGGGAATTTTTTTTGTTTATTTTATTTTATAGCAAATATGCCCATGTGTTTCAACGGGAGATGGCTCTTTTGGTTGACCATATCGTCCATGTAGAATGTAGCATCGTTAGTTTTTACTCTTGGTTAAAAAGACAATAGGCAATTATGTTCTTAACTCTGTTTTCGTTCTATGATTTTGTCCTTGCTTATTAACTAAAGGTCAAGTTTGCCTCCATTTCATTAAGATGACTTAGCGGTGTTGTAAATTTAGCCCTATTATTTTCTGAAGAATTTATGATTTTGGTCTTGATTTGACAAAAGTGTGTTTTGACACGATTTTTTCCCAACCTGAATTTTCATATTCTGATCAGCTAATTATTAAATTTTCATATTCTGATACATGACTACTCATTCATATTTAAAATATATATATGAAAATAGTACTCTGATAAGCTAGAGTACTATAATTTGATAGTACTCCGAATATGAGTGAGTGTCGGATCGCCATTGCAGTGATCAACCTTCTCACCGTTGGCCATGCACAACATGCAGCTGAATTTTCCCTTCAGCGTGTGCTAGCATGTGTGGTGGACTCGCTCCGCGCTGACGAACCTTGTCTTGAGGCACACCCACACTTGTTTCGCCGTCTTCTTCTTTGCCACCCGCATGAAGAGATCCTTTGGAAGCGCATGGAGCAAGTGCGACCTCACCTTCTTGTCAAATGCCCTAATCTTCCATCATCGCCTGCAGCCCTGCACCCGGATCACCTAGCTGGTATAGGTGGTTGCAGTGACCAGTGAGCTGCGGGTAGAGGAAAGCGCTCCCCGTGCTACGCCGTGCCGCGTCTGCCGTCGTGACGATAGACATAGCTCTGTTATCTTTTTTTGAAACCTAAGGCGGAACTTAGTTCCACTTTTATATTTAGAAGAAGAGAATTGGCCCAGTCTATAAGGAAAATCGGGCCCAAAAACCATACAACTGCACGGTTAATTACAAACCCACCGCTACACAACTAACAATGACGGCGGAGCCCAATCGCAGGACGTCGCCACAAAGCTAAACACAAAAGCGACACAACAGCTTCCACATCGCAGAAGAGGTGTTATCGTTGCCGAGCTAGCCGCCCCAGCGACCCAGCAGCGCCAAAGCGAAAGTCGCCAAAGCCACTGAAGACGAAAGTCGCCAAAGCGAAAAGCGGCTCCGGCATCCAACAATAGACATCAGCCAAGCCACCGAGGAGCCACTTCCTTCACACGGCCAGCACCAGAACTCCTTGGAAGAGACTGCAACATGTCATCGTTGCTAAGCGTCGCTGCACCCCATCAGCGAGCAGCTTCGACTTCATCAGCAGAAACAACCGAAGAGCATGTCGCCCACCACAAAAAAGAAGCAGACCCAAGAAGGCGAAGCCTCACCGAACACAAGATATGAAAGCTTTTGAACCGAAAAGGACCATCAACAGTCATCGATGCATTGGAACTTCTCCGAAGCGACGCCCCTAAGGAGGATACGACGTGTGACGCCGCCGCCGCTCGTCCAAAAATCGGAACAAGGTTTTCACCTGGAGAGATTTGTGAGGATATGAAAGAGTGCCATGACAACGCCTCCAAGGAGGGAAACGACACCCACGGGCGCGCCATTGTCGAACCGGCCAAAAGCACGGTAAGGCTTTCGCCAGCATCTTCACAACACCCACACAAGCACCCCCACATCGATGGCCGCAGAATAGTTCATGACGTCTCAGAAGCAATCATACCTTGATTGTAACCAACGGCAAAGACGGGCCCTTGGCCATCCTCGAAATGCCATCCATCCGCCGCAAACTTCTACAGCAAGCCGGAGCCTCCGCCCTCCCCATAGCATTCCCCATGACCAGAAAAGGGTCCGGCCAAGGGGGGAAACCAAAGAGAGGGAGAACACTCGGCCGACAATGAGGAAGTCACCGTCACGGACATCAAGCACCATTCCTGCTTCACGCCAGCACAAGCCGTCGTCCCGCCATTTCCACATCCGCACATCGCTGCCCATCAACAACAACGAGACCCACCACCGGCAGAAGCCCCCTGCCGAGTAGGAGGCTGGCTGCCAGCGAGCCGCCGCCGCGCTTGCCGTCCACACGCAGCCGTCCCACCGACCAGCTGCCATCTGGCGTGGAGGCGACGAATCTAGCCGCGGACGGCCAGATCCAGCCAGGTACAGGGGATGACCAGCTAGGGCGCGCCGCCGCAGCATTACCGAAGCCAACACCGACGCTTGACAGACGCCGACGACAACGCCGCGACCATGACGGGAGCGAGCCGCCACTGCCGTCGCCCGTCCACCGCGACGCCGCCCCTGCCTGCCGGTTTCCGCGCCTCCCCGGCGCCGACCACTCTCCCCCAGCCCGGATTGGAGAGGCGACGCGAGGGAGCGCCGTTGCCGCTGCTCCACCTTTCCCGCCGCCTGCATCTCCCTTCCCCGCCTCCTTGGGTGCCGCCGTCGTCCCGGGAGGAGGCCGGACCGCCGGATTTGGCGAGGGACGCCAAATCTGGCGTCGTCGCCGCCGCCCCCGTTCCGCACCCAGCCGCCTTCGCCCAGCTGTTCCGCACCCGGTCGCCTCTGCGCGCCTAGCCCGACGCCCCGACGCCGACGCCGATGCCACCGCACCGTCGCCGCCCCCAACTGGTCGGGGTCGTGGGCACCGACCCGCGCCCTCGAGGGAGAAGGAAGGCCCCACCGCCGACTTCCTCGCAGCCGCGCGGTTTCCGGCAGTCTGCTCGGGCGGCGGCGAGGTGGAGGAGGGAGCAAGGCGGCGGTGGGGAGAAAGACGGCGGTGGTCGCCACCCGTGTCGCCCCTGCCCCTGGAACGACACGGGGGCAGTTCTCATAGCTCTGTTATCGATCACTGGTTGCCTAGAACCTCAATCGAACACCTTGCGGGCAGGGACTCTAGTTGCTCGGCAATGCCAAAGAACAAAGAACTTAATTTGTGACCTATCTTTGTGACTTTGTGTGTCTTCTATTGAATGGAACAAGTTGGGATACAATTTGTGAGGAATGTTTCCTTTCTTTTTGTAGCAAAGTCTAAAAACAGAATCCGGCCAGCACACATGCGTACACTAGCGCGATTAACCCAAACAATTTTGCTATATATTTGTCGATAAATTTTCTCCTAAAAATTTGACAAATATAATTACAGTATAATCGTAGTGTAATTACATTGTAACTACAATGTAACTTATATGTAACTTTCAAAAATCTCTCCGTAACATGTTATTTGGGTAAAATGGAGGTCGTGGGAACAAATCCTTTCACATATGTGTGTGCTGTGATTTTTTTTCTTTCTCACCAGAACAAATCTGGTAATAGATCTAACGATTCAAAATTACATGAAATTTACATACAAGTTACACTATTGTTACATGCAAGTTGCAGTGTAATTACATATAAGTTACAATATAATTACACTATAATTATACTATAATTACATCTATCAAATTTTTAGAAAAAAATTTGTCGACAAATAGAAATAGATATAGGTGTTCTCAATCCGAAAATTCGGAACGCCACGCGCACACACGCCCTGATCGCGCTCCCGGCATCTAGCTGGCTCCAATCCGTTGCACGGCCGTTGGCACCCACCGAGCCCTGACACCGCCGCCGGCGAAACAGCAAGACGACACGCATGATCAGGTCCGGTCAGCTAACGAAATGCTGCCAGACGACACGCATGAGGCCTTCGCGCCGTACGAAGCATGCATGGTTTCTGTTTTCTGTAAAAAAATAAATAAATAAAAGTCTTCTGCATTTTCCTGGTATATATTCCGATCCGTTCCCTGGTTTCTTAACAGTGTATCCGACTCGGACTTGTTGATCGATCGTCTTTTTTCTCGACGTGCGCACGCACGTACACAGACCGAATCGGATTATTTGTGGGCGAGCAGTGTCTATATATTTGCTCCGGTGGCCGAAGCGAGCGAGCCGACAAGCCACAGATCGATCTCTAGCTCGATTTTTCAACGAGAACCCCTCGCTGATCGACCGCACGCCGCGCGCAGTCGTCGTCGTACGTCGTCGTACTCGATCGTCTTCGACGACGGCAATGGCCGACCCGACGCCGCCGCCACCGTGCGCCGCGTGCGCGCACCAGGGGCGGCCCAGCTGCCCGGCGGGCTGCCCGCTGGCGCCCTACTTCCCGGCCGACCGGCCGGAGCGCTTCGAGTACGCTAACCTCCTCTACGGCGTGGACGGCATCCTCCGCCGCCTGGAGGCGGCCGGGCCGGACCCGGGGACCCGGCGCGCCACCATGGCGTCCATCGTCTTCGTGTCGGACGCGAGGGCCGCCGACCCCGTGCACGGCGCCTACGGCGTGATACGGAACCTCCAGCAGGAGCTCGCCAGCGTCAAGGCCGAGATCGCCGCCATCCGGCAGAAGCAGCAGCAAGCCCAGCCGCCGCCGCCGCCGGAGGACGGCCACTAACTAAGCCTACGCACCGCCATCCGCATTTATATATGCATGCTGTGGAGACGGTTCAATTAGATTATGTTTTTCTTAGTAACTCATTAGATTGCTGCAATATTAATTATCTGAATTCAGAGTTTAGCTCCATGTTTCGGAAATAACTAGGATTAGCACCCCCACACGTTGCCGTGCAGTGGGTGCGACGGTATTTCCAAAGGATGTCAAATTACTCCTCTATTTACTGTATGTCATATATGATTATATTTGTATTTAAAAGTGTCTTATAATAATATTATTATGTTGAAGGGCGTGTAGAAAACTTTGCACACTTCTCTGTCTTTATCTCTATATCTAACTCTACGTGTGGCGTTTCGGTTCAGACCAGAAGTTCCAGATTCAGACCGGAAGTTTCAGATTATTTACTTCCCTGCAAAGTATGAATTTCAAGGAACGCCTATTCACCTCCTAGATCTATATCTATATCTATATCTATAATAACTAATATAAATATTCGGATTTTTCCGGTCGTCGCATCTCTTTTCGTCCGTATTTTCGTCCGTCCGTCGTATTTCAATCTCAATCCCAATCCGACTATGTTAGCGATGGAAAAATTGCAAAAAAAAAAAAAACAATTCATCACAGATTCACACCAACGGATTCTCAATCCCACCCACGGATTCGCAGCCAATTCATCACAGATTAAAATCCACAAGAAAGGAGAAAAACGAAAAGACGAAAAACCGCAAAAAAGGGCGCCGCCGCTGGGAAACCAGGCCACCACCACCTCCCCTGGATCCAGGACGCCGGATCTGGGATACCGAGCCGCCGCCGCCTGCCACCGTCGAGCCCTCCCGCGGCCCCATGGCAAGGGAGAGGAGGCGAGGGGCGGAGAGGCGCTGCCGCCCGTTGCCACCCGCGGAAGGAGAGCTCCGGGCTCAAGACGTCGACTGGAGAGGAGGAGGTGCGGGGTCGCAGGTAGAGGGAGAAGGAGAGAGGAGGCGGAGAGAAAGAGTCGCCGGAGGCGGAGAGGCGGAGAGAACGAGAGAGAGGAGTTGAGGAGCGGCGGGTTGGTCGCGGCTGGGTTGGTGCGGTGTGGGGATGGATACGGATTAAACACTGTGGGCCGCCTCCGTTTTTTTTTTTTGTTGATTTTTCTGGGATAGATTCGCCTCTTGCGGGCACGTATCACTGTTGCCACCGCAAACGCTAAAACAAAAATGTTCGATTTTTAGTCTATTAGATTGACTTTGAGATTCGTGTTCATGGAACATAAAAAATAAAAAAAAAGCTACGCACGATACAAGAACGATTTTGCTATATCTCACTCGAAAGATTTTTTCTTATCTCTCACTCGATTTTCTCACTCAAATTTACAGTGCATTTTATTGTAAGTTACAGTGTAATTTATGAAACTTACCCTGTAACTTTTGTAAGTTACACTGTAATTTTTGAATCTTCGCATGTAAATTTTAAATTTTGTATTGGATTTAGTCTTTTTCTTGAGGATATGGTAATTTAGTGTCCATAATGTGTTTCTTAATTGCTTTTTGCTTTTTATTATATCTATCGGATTTTAATCCAAAGATTAAAAATCTGTGTGATACGATCATAAAAATCTTTCGAAAGATGTATAGGTACTCCCATACAAGAATCGACCCCGGGACCTTCGATCTGGGCCCAACTACTTAAAGAAAGTTTATTTGCTCAGTTGGGATAAAATTAGTTTTTCTCTCTCAATAATTTTAAGCATCTTTCTATTTTCTATTTTCAGAAATAGCATTAGTACCATTTTAATTATTTATTACTGCTTAATAATTTAATTCCAACTAAATTGAATTAACTAAAAATTTGATTTTTCTCATGATATGGATTTATTTTTCGACTAAAAATATAATTATTTATTTGTCATGATATAAATTTAGACTAAAATTAAATAATATTAATATGAAAATTTCTAAACTATAAGAGTGCTCATTTTTTTATTACTTTACTAAGTTAATAACATTAATTTTTTCCGTTGCAACGCACTATTGAATAATAATTTATTATGAGCTACTATATTTCTCTCTATCATTTGAGACTTTTTTTAACGAGCAAAAGTACCAAAGCAGTGTGAAAATAACTTCGCTTAAAAACAAATATTTTTAGTTCAATACACCGTAGCAAAGCACGGGCATTTTGCTAGTAATACTAAGATCCTTTCAACGCGTATTGTCTCCTTAGCATCAATAATACTAGAGGCTGGGGCGCGCCAATGGCGCGCCGCCTGTAGACAGGTCGATGGAAAGATGCGATGCACACGTTCTCTTAACTAAGAAAAGCTAAAAAGCATATGGTAAAAAGAAACAACAAATAGTACCATAGTAGCTGTAGTATAACAAGCCAGCTGTTTGTACATAAAGTGGTTAATTGTTCACTCAGCTTATGGATAACAAAAGGAGCTGAGGACAATGATAAGCAGTTATAGGTCACGTGCTTACAGAGCAAGTGAAGTTAGATAGACCGCAAGCAAAGGATAATAGAGAATTATAGTAGTTGTTCCAGTGTAGATAATAGCAGCGACTACTGAAGATGCAGGTAACTTTCACAGAGCATCTATGGTGAGCGTGAGGTGACTTGTCCTAAAAAGTGGAAGATGCAGATTGTGTAAGTTGATGCTGTTGGCTGCTGCAAAGCTAACCACCCTGATGTTAAGTTGTTGAGGGTCGACCTGCAATCTGCACTCTAATGTTTGCTGTCTTGCCTCGAACCAAGTTCACAATGTATTTCTTTGAAAACTCGGTCGCAAAGTACTGAAAAAGAAAAGTGACATTTATATGCTCAGTATGGGTATAAGAAGATGGAAATGTTGTGTCAAAAATTACCACTCTGTCCTGTTCCATGAATGTTCTGTTCATACGCACGACATAGAACTTGTTTGATTCTTCTAGAAAATCTGCAATCTCTTTGATGTAACTCTTCAATTCAGCTGTGAGCTTAATCTGGTGGCAGAAGGAGGTGTCTGCTAGGTTTTCTTTTGTTACTGCCTGCTAGTAAAAAATGACAGAAAATGATTACATATGAATAGAAACATAGATAGAAAGATTTAAATCACTTGTCCAGCATGTGCAATTTTGCAGGAGGCAATATAGCACAGTGTTTTTTAGCCAATGTAAGTTGGAGGAGTATCTGGCTGATTTAATTGTATATCTTCTATTACCCGGCGAAAACAGAATAGACATGTTAATGGGTAGTGTAAGTTGAAAAAATGTGATGAGGCAAACTTTGTACCTGTTCCATTCCTCAGAAATGGAACGCTTTTGCTAGGAGATGCATGGTCAAATGTGCTTGCTCTGGTTAATTGACCTGATGGATCAAGGGGCCTTTTGTTCGCTGATGAGCTGTTGGATGGGGTCTTCACTGGACATCTAATAAGGCCTTGTCTGTTCAGTATCATAACACACGCTTTAGACTGTGATGGCATCCAGAAAAGAATCGTTTCTCCAGTTTCTAATCCAGTTGCCTCTACAAATTATTTCCATCATGTCGTCATGTACAGTGTGCTAGCTACTTCCTTGATTTTGATCTTTATCTTCAAGCCATGGGAAGTTTTTAACTTCAGATTATCTCCACGCTGCATCTTATATGCTGTCGCAAGTGTGATTGGCACAGGATGTAGAAAGAAAATATCATATCCGCACTGGTGCTAACAGCATATTGTACATAGAAAGTTTTGTTTGACTTTGAGCTTACCAAGTAGCTTTGATTTGTTGCATTCAGCCTCATTGATGCGAAAACTGCGGAAGACATGATTGTGGCTACAATATATATACACATGTAGTTAGATGTATTTGATAAATAAAAAAAGTTATGAGAGGCTCAGCTAGTTATTAGAGTTTTTATTATAATTTTTTTATTTTCAAACAGGGTGAGTATTTTGGGATATGTAGAAATGCAATGAAGTATGTGATCTATAACTTGATGTATGTAAGTATTTATGTGATGTAAATCTTAGTTGTAGCTGGAAAGATATATATGGTAAGAACATAATGTGCTGGGTTAAGTGGCTATACTACGGTAAGATATAAGATAATTATGATGCAAGAATAGGACTAAATAGCTGTGAAAAAGCTTAATAATTTACAGTTGATGTAAGTATTTTTTTCAGTATAGTAGCTAAAGGATTTATGTGAAAGAGTATTAATTATTTATTGTAATTTCGTGTAATGGTATTGTTCTAATGTATTGAAAAAGGGAAATTTTTATATTAGAAATATTAGGAACTGAATCCGATATTAGCAAGTCATGACACAAATATAAAATATAAAGAATTGAAAGGGGCTAAAGTACGAGTATACATGTTTCAATAATGGGCAAGCTAAAAAGTATAACATTTATATCTGAACTGAAATAATGATTAGTGAGAGAATATGTAATAGAATAGGTGTATATTTAGGATGCCAAATCTACATAGTTAAATGATACAATCAATTAGTCTACCCCTATAATAAAATGGTTATAGAAAGGTTTTTCTGGGTCAGCTAATATCAAAGAGGGTTTGTAGGTTAGATCACTTAAGCATAATCACTGATTAGGGCTGTCAACAGTACTTAGGGTTAATGGTAGATCTATGATAGTTTGATTGACATAGAAAAAGACAGGAAATTTTATCCCCCCGCGTCGCCCACGCGCAGGCGACACGGGGGTGAACCCTACCGCCGCCGCCGCCGCCCCCCTCTCCCCCCTCCCCCTACCTCGCTGCCGCCGGAGCTCACCGCCGGCAAAGCCGGCTGGTGAGCTAGGATGGCGGCGGCGGGGCCTTCTCCGCGGCGGCGCTCCCTCTTCGGCGTGATGGAGGTGGTGTTCGCCGGCGTCGGTACGCCGGTGAGAGGTGGCGGCGAGGTCTCCCGGCTAGGCGGCGGCAGATCTGGCGTCGCCGTCGCCGGATCTGGCAAGCCCTCCGATTTTCGGCGGTGGAGGAGGCTGCTGCGACGTGTGGGCGGCGACGGCTCGCGCAGCGGCGCGTGGGCGGAGTCGGTGCTGGCGGCGGCCGCTGGCTCCGGTGGTCGAAGGCCAGCGCTGACGGTGGCCGCCGTCTCCGGTGGTCGGCAAGGTCGGGGCTGGCCGGGGTCTCCATCCCGCCACTACTCTCTTCCTCCTCCCTCTCCACAACCACCCTCTTCTTCCCCCCCCTCCCCTCATTCCCTTATTCTCTCTTGTGATGTCCCTCTCCTCTCTGTGCCGTCGGCACAAGCGAAGCAGAAGTGGAGGTTTCCTTCCTCCCTTCCTCTCGCCATCGCTGCTACCAGTTGATCTCTGCTGCCAGTTGTCCAATTGCTCTGCTGCTCGCCCCAGCGCTCCTCTCTCTCTGCGCTGGTGGTATCTTGGAGGTGGTTGCCGTAGTCGTGAGGTTTTGTCCCGCGAAACCAGGAGTTCCTCGCCGGAGACATGGTTGACACCGAGGTCCTGGGTTCCCCTGACTCCAACTCTCAGCTCCTCTTCAGGCCGGCCAGGTCTCCTCCCCTCCGTGATGCTTCTCCCTTCTGTTGGCCGTCTTCCAGACCTGGCCGTGGAGTCTTTCGGTGGTTGAGGAGAAGTGTTCGTCCTTGAAGGTGGTCCAGTCCGTCTGAAGTCAGGGCTCTTATGCCTCGCCAGTGCTTCATGTGCCCTGTGACTATGTGGACCTATCTTAGTGCCGAGTTTGGAGCGGTGTGTTTTTCCTCTTCGGTGCTGAGCTTTTGTGTTAAGGCGGAGTCGAAGCTGCTGCATCGGGTCAGCCGATGAGCTAGGCAACGACAACTCTTAACACTTTTGCTTTGGCTTCTTGGAGGTCCTACACCTTTTGAGGGAGTCCTAGGCGAAAGCCCTGTCTGGTCTTCCAGGATCGGCGACATCGACGCCTGCGGGTGCCGTTTCCTCCTTGGAGGTGTTGTCTTGTGGACTCTTTCTCCCTTTGGGTGAAAACCCAGTCCAGTTATGGGCGGGCGTGGGCAGCGGCTTCTGTCGTTGTTCACCTCCTTGGAGGCTTCGTCTTGAAGGTCTTGCTCCTCTCTCGGTTACTTCTGTGGTTCATAGTTTTGTCACGGGTTTTTTTTGTGTCTTCTGTGTAAGGTTTTGCCGGTTTTCCCTTAGCAAACCGTGCAGTTGTATGGTTTTCTGGCCCGGTTTCCCTTATAAACAGGGTCAACTCTCTTCTTCTAATATATCCGGTAGATCTCCTACCGTCTACTGTTTCAAAAAGATAGTTTGATTGACTTGAGGAAGGGTGTGACGCTCGATGATCTAAAAACATATATTCGGTATAGAGAAAATGGGGAATGAAAAGAATAGAAAGAGAGCGAAATAGTGTGGTGATAGTAAAGGCATGTGGTTTGGAGATGAGATCTCTAAACCCTGCGAAGTGAGAGTAGCAAGCGGGGGAAGAAGGATCGATGGAGCAGCGGTCACCGTCGATGGCGTTCCTCGTTGGCGTCGCTTTTGTGGCTAAATTCGTACACTTGCCCTTTACTTGGGGCTGCAAACCAAGATTGTCTGCTTGCAGAAGAATTAGTGAATAAATCCATATACACAAACTATGTAGAATACACCTTCAGATTTCAAGTGCATTTTGAGAAGAATCACACAATTAATCCATGTATATATGTGTAATCTTATTAAAAGAGGCAAGAAGCAGGCTGCTTGGACTGCCAATGATTGTAGTCTGAGCATAGGCAGTAAGAAAACATCAATTTAATGGGACTGTAGGTAGCAAGTAATACACCACAAATTACATATTAACTGAAACCTCGGTTATGTTATGGCCAAACTGAAAACATAATACAGCGGCTAGAAGTAAGAGTAGAATTGAGTGGAAAATTTACCCATATCATGAAATCCAAGGGATGTACGCAAATTGTCTCTCTCTGAATTGATACTAACAAAAAGGTGTCAAAACAGGGAAGAAGCCCATGAGTACCAGAGCACTTAGTAAGCCCAATTACACCAACATCGCAATGATCTCCAACTGTCCAAGGCTGAAAAAGAAAAGATATCACATTATATGTTAAAAACCACCACCATCACCACCACAAACAAGTGAGAACTGTGTGCCTTGAAAAGGAAAATTACAACATTACTTGATTACCAATAGTCAGGAAAAAAATATGTATTTCAAGGGAGAGAAACACTAACAACGTCCATGACCAACAAAAGCCCATACATTCTGTGTAACTTGATAAGCTCAAGCAATGGAGCAAAGTCACCATCCATGCTGAACATACTGCATTTTATCAACAAGAAGATCATCTGAGTTGGTTACGCTAGCCATTGATACCAAAATAAGTGATTTTTGAATGAAGAAATTTACTTGGAAATATAACTTGTCTATGTGCGAAAAAAAGAATATTTTCCATTGATTAATGGGACCTGCTAGTGTAATCACAAACATAGTTTATAACTAAATCAATTAGTGCTTAACATTATGACATGTATGTTACGACTGGGAAGTGAAAAAAATACCCATGGATTTTTTTTTAAGTCTTACACTTACTGGAGGATGCGAAGCAAGCAGAGTTTAATCTCAATGACCTCCGATTGTCCAAGGCTGAAAAAGATAAGAGATTACATTATATGGTATAAAAACCCCTAAGAGCACAATTCACATTTTCAGGTTAATCAAGCTAAGCCATTAAATGAAGCAAAACCAAGCATCAGCGCGCACCTATAACATAAACACAGATATACCTCAAGGATGCCCGTTGGGATAAAAATTTGGACGGGTAAAACATCACAAAGGAGATCAAATGGCAGCTACAATTAGGATTGCCAATAAATTAATACTCACATGGGAAATGAGCAATGAAACTACACCCGCAGTGATCCAGTTGAGCACCGTGAAATTATTTAGGTTACATGCAGATGAAACTGCAGAGCATGAAAACAAAAAATGAAAATTAAATAGCATATACAACATCTGTAGGAAGTTCAAAATATCATATAACAGCAAAGAATCAGCTATAGTACATGCAGCCAAAGAAGCAAGCTATAGAAGGGGCATGATTTAAAATAATGGTGTTAGTATTAGTACCTAATGGCACAACGGTTATCATGTAAGTAAATCAATATTCCTGTCATGCTTCTGCTTGCCTCTCACCTGCAACCTTTCTCAATTGCTTGTGGAGGATTGAACTTGTAACATGTACTGGTAGCCAAGCTGAATACCAGATCAGAGAACATTTTGTATTAACAAATCTGATGCATGAACATTAACTAATCAAAACTGATTGAATGGCTGAACATATATCGAGAAGGGAATATAACATCACATAGCGTACGGAGATAAATAAAAACAACTATGTAAGCAGCAATCACCAAATGGCACATGGACCAGCTGATATATCAGTGGAGCATAGAAAGGAAAGATAAGTGGCACAAAGGAAAAAGTATATTACTATGACCACATCTGAGATGGGTAACGTAAGGAAAGATAAGTATAATGTAAAGGCATCCCTTTCCCTTTTCCTTTCCCTTTCCTATGCATTCTCTCAAATATCCAATCTAAAATCAAAAATTGCAATCCAAGAACAAGAGAAAACAGAGATTGGCAGGTCCTAGCTCACTCAGCTCTTATTTGCAGTGTGCTTCTCTACTTAGCAGCTTAGACAGAGGCATGCCCATTATTTGCATCTGAGTGCTGTGGTTGTGGAACTCCTTACCTCAGTGCCGGTTGGCGGGCGCTGCTAGCCTACACCTCATCAGTACAGAAAAACAAAAACAAAATCAACTCCCCACAACATTACAAATTGATGCGATTATATTACTTCATTTTGCCTTCACTTATTAGATCACCGAACATCAGTTTATTGGGAATCCGTACCTGCAAACATTGCCAAAACCACTCAATACAACAGGAAAACAGTAGGTAATGTCAGTGCTACAAATACTATCACGTCATTAACCTGACAATACAACTGACCATTCTCGATGATACATACTGAGCAATGAAACATGCAGTAAAAATGTGGAACCACCAACTGTTATAAAGTAGTAATATCTAGAGCATTAGCATGTAGATTAGTATGACTAATCACTAACGAGAACGATCAAACAACAATACACCTGCGTGCAACAATTGCAATCACAGGCTCGCAGTTACCACATGGGCAACAAACACAATCGTAAATTATCAGCATCAGTCTATCACTAACACCACTAACAATAACAACCACTCACCAAGACCATGCCAGAGTGGTCGCAGAATGAGGAAGGTGAGGCCGGCGTGGGCGCGGTGGAGAGCGACCCAGCCGCAGAGGCGCACGCAGCGGCCGGCATCACCGGCGCCGAGCTCGTCACACAGCTCGTCCCTCGTAGGCCACTGCAGCGGCTGCAGCCTCTCGAGCTTCGCCTCGGCCGCGGGGTCACGGTGTTGGTGGCCGCTAGGGTTCGGAGCGGAGACGGTGAGCACGAGGCCTACGTGGTGGAGGTGGTGGTGGAGAGCAGAAGGAGGCGGAGGAGGTGCGAGGCGGGCAGCCTAGGGTTGAGCGGCTTTAGGCGGGAGAGGAAGGAGAGCGGCGAGGCGCAGAGAAGAGAGGAAGCCATTAGATTGGACTTGGAGACGGTGGGAAAGCGAGTAGACGAAGAGAAGGGGGCCTGGGTTTTCGAGGAGGAAGACGAGATGGCATCGGATCCGGCGGCCTTGAGGTCATGGCCATCAGATCCGGCCACTCCGATGGCAGCGAGCGGGTAGACCAGCAAGTTGAAGACGGCGGTTGTCAGACTCGTAAGAAGAATGGAGGAAATTTCAGAAAGTTCAGAGTTTCAGTTAACTGAAGATGCAAAGGAGGGAGAAAACGTTTCATCCTGGGTAATGAAGATCTAAGAGATGAGACAAAGCCACGTGTTCGAGAGAGGGATCCGACGGTGTTAACGTCATGAGAAGCCGCTGTAGCTATCAAAGCTTGTCGTTTTGCTCTTTACATTCACTGTAATAATTTTAGCTGCTGTAAACTTACTTAAGCTGGCTTTTGCTGTGGGAAGAAGATAAGAAGAATCACAATTTCTATTTGTCTTAGGAGTAGCTAACTTAGAACCCTAGGAGATAGTCTTGCGGCGGCCACCCAAATCCTACCAAAATTCACAAATCGCTACTCTGTTTCTCCATTTCTGGTTCAGGGTTCTGACAGAGGTATCAGAGCACGAGCGAATCCTTGGCTCTTGGATCTCTCTGGTGAAGGTTGGTGGAAGGCGGCGGTGAGATCCACCGTAAAATTCCTGAGCTAGGAGGGATTCAATCCGGAGGCGAGTGGTGCTTCAGATCGGACAGCAAGGGTTGGGTTGCCACCTTCGTGGTGTGCACCTGTAAAATCTCCGGCGCTTCTGATTTGAGGTTGGCGGCGGTAGATCCGACTGCAGGGGTAATAGGGGAGGAATCTTGAATTCTGAACCTAACCTGCAGGGGCGAAATGGTGACCAAGACGCGCTCAAACGATGAGATTGTGGGACTGGAGGAGATGAATGAGTTTCGCTCAGATGTGGCATCTCTGAAGAAGGAAGTAGTAGAGCTTAAGGGCTTGAGGTCATAGGTGAAGGAGATCAAGGACCTTCTGCTGGAGTTGTGCAAACAGAAGGGGAACGAGGGACAGGAGAATCCTGTGGGAGATGCTGCAACAAAAGAGAAGAGCACGGGAGAAGCAGGACCCAGTCGATCTGTGCAGGTAACCACGCCTAGTTTGGGAGTTCAGTTCTCTATTGAACCAAATACTATGAGCCTATCTGCACCTATGGGTCAAGAAGCTAGACCACAGGGGGGAGTCAGTAGTGTTCAGACAGATTTGGGGCAGGTGACTACTGTATTATCAAAACCTCCACCATTCATACCATTTGCCCCATTTCCAAACCAGAGGGTACCTTTCTTAAACTCAGCTCCTTTTCAAACTCAAACAACAGTTGGGGGAAGAGTGCCCAATTCAAATTTTCAAACACAAGGGACAGCCACTAGCTCAGGCACTGGGCAACAAGGGGTTCACATATTAGATCATAGCAGACCTGGTGGTATGGTTTATCAAGGAGAAAATCAACATTATGCTGAAGCTGTAATCAAGGGACCTCGGTTGGAAATACCACTGTTCACAGGAGAAGATCCCATTGACTGGTTGAAGCAATGTGAGAAATTCTACGAGATTACTGGGACACCATATGATCAATGGGTCAATCTGGCAATTGCACATCTGCAGGGAAGAGCAATGAAGTGGTTTAGAGGAGTAGGTATTCCTTGGCAGTTGATTCCTTGGCCACAATGGTGTCACATGGTGAGCACTCGTTTTTCGGCTGCAAATGAGCATGAGGCAGTGGAACTATTCCAGAATGTTAAGCAGTATGGTTCAACTGTGGAACAATATATAGATAAATTTGAGGAGTATGTGGATCTAGTCAGGAGGGACCATCCTTACTTACAGGAACAGTATCTGAATAGCTGCTTCATTGGTGGGCTTAGAGGGGATATCAAGCATGATGTGTGTGGGCAAAAACCACAAGGTCTGTTGGAGTCCTATTGGTATGCAAAGAACTATGAGAAGGCAGCTAATGCAAGGAAGGTGGCACTGAATTTCAGCAGAAACAGAAATCAGAACACCAATTTCAACAATCCTGGCAGGAACACAAATAATAGACCACAAAGGGGTGATGGTGAGAAGAAAGAAGACAGAAAATGCTGGTTTTGTAAGGAACCATGGTTTCCTAGACACCAATGCAAGGTGAAGCAAGCTATCAATGCTTTACTGGTAGAGAATGAACCTTGTACTGAAGAGGAGGAGGATGAATCAAAAGAGAAGGAACAAGAGGAGCTGGCCACTGACCAAATAGAGGCACCTAAGCAGGAGGGAGCACATGAGGAGTTAATGAGTGTGTCATTTAGTGCAGCTTCTGGCACAACTCGGCCTGATACTTTTTCAGTCCTAATCATGATCAATGGGAAACAAGCAGTTGGTCTAATTGATAGTGGGAGTACTGGGACTTTCATGACCCATGAGTTTGCAGTTAAGTGCAAGTGTCCTATAGCAACCTCGACTATTAAGAAGGTGATAGTAGCAGGAGGAGGAGAATTGAAATCTAATCTTGTAGTCCCAGAAGTGGCATATAAAATTCAAGGGGTGAAATTTGTTAATGCTTTCAGCTTGATCACCTTGAAGGGATATGATGTAATCTTGGGGGCAGACTGGATTTTTCGGCATAGTCCAATTACTTTGGATCTCAAACAGAGGGAACTGTCTATCACCAAGGAAGGTAAGCTAGTTGAATTTCAGGATTTCACTAAACCTGGGAAACATTTCTTAATTGATGGTCATAAAATGGAGAAGCTGATAAAAAAAGGAGCTGTGGGGTGTGTGTTACAAGTGAATGCGATGACTGAAGAAGAGAGGAAGGAGGAGGCTGCAGTGCCAGCAGATGTTCAGGAAGTTTTATCACAGTTCCCAGGAGTGATGAAGGAGCCAAAAGGCTTACCTCCAAGAAGAGCTTGTGACCATGTGATAAACTTGAAACCTGGGTCAGAACCTCCCAACCAGAGACCCTATAGAGTGCCACATTACCAAAAGGAGGCCATGGAGAACATAATATCAGATCTGATCCAGTCGAAGGAGATTAGGTTCAGTGACAGCCCTTATGCCTGTCCAGCTGTAATGGTTAGAAAAAGGGATGGATCTTGGAGAATGTGTGTAGACTACCGACAGCTGAATGCCCAAACAGTGAAGAACAAGTTTCCTATGCCAATTATAGATGACTTGTTGGATGAGTTACATGGGGCTAGAATATTTTCTAAGCTGGACTTAAGGTCGGGATATCATCAGATTAGAATGGCTGAGGAAGATATTCCTAAAACTGCCTTCAAAACACACATGGGTCACTATGAGTACCAAGTAATGCCATTTGGGTTAACTAATGCACCTGCCACTTTTCAGTCACTAATGAACCAAGTTCTAGCACCTTTTTTAAGAAAGTTTGTTCTTGTGTTTTTTGATGACATCTTGATTTATAGCAAAACAAGGGAGGAACATATCAAGCATATCAAGGCAGTATTGCAAGTCCTGGAGAAGAACCAGTTGGTGGTACGGCTTAAGAAGTGTGCTTTTGGTCTGAGCAGTGTGGCTTACTTGGGACATGTGATATCTTCGGATGGAGTGGCAACAGATCCTAGCAAGATCAGTGATATCATGAATCGGAAGGAACCTAAAAATGTGACTGAAGTCAGGGAATTCTTGGGGATGACTGGGTATTATAGAAGATTTATAAAAGGGTATGGGTTAATCTGCAGACCCCTTCACGACATGTTGAAGAAAGGAGGTTTCAATTGGGGGTTAGCTCAATCTGAAGCATTTACAGAGCTAAAAGGGAAGCTGTGTACTAGTCCAGTGTTAGCCTTACCAAACTTTGAGCAGCCGTTTGTGATTGAAGCAGATGCTTGCGAAGTTGGTATTGGAGCAGTTTTGATGCAGGCAGGAAGGCCAATTGCTTATTATAGCAAGGCTCTAGGGCCAAAAGCAGCAGCTCAGTCAATTTATGAGAAAGAGGCTATGGCTATACTAGAGGCTTTAAAGAGATGGAGGCATTATGTTTTGGGTGGAGAATTAGTCATCAAAACAGATCAGCAGAGTCTTAAGTACATGATGAACCAAAGACTGGTGGAAGGGATACAACACAAGTTATTGCTTAAACTGATGGAATATAATTACACTATTGAGTACAAGGCTGGTAGGGAGAACTTAGTAGCAGATGCCCTATCTAGGAGCCCGAAAAACAAGGAAGAAGTGACTGAACTTTGTGCAGCTATTGCTGTGGTGGTGCCTGAGTGGATACTGGATATTAAAAGAAGTTATGAAGAGGATGTTCAAGCTCATAAGTTGCTGAGTTTAATTGGCACAGCAGGGGATCCACAAGGGGAGTATAAGTTTGAGGCTGGAATTATGAAATATAAAGGAAGAATATATGTGGGGGAAACAGGAGAAATCAGAGGGCAGTTAATACAAGCTTTTCATAGTTCGACTTTTGGGGGGCACTCTGGAATTAGAGCCACATACCAAAGGATTAAGAAGCTGTTTTATTGGCCAGGATTGAAGAAGGGAGTGGAAAATCACATAAGAAATTGTCCAGTATGTCAGGTTACTAAATCTGAACATGTGCATATACCAGGTCTTTTAAACCCTCTAGAGGTACCAGACATGGCTTGGACACATATATCCATGGACTTTGTAGAAGGGTTACCAAAGTCCAAGGGGAAGGATGTGATTTTGGTAGTGGAGGATAGGTTAACCAAATATGCACATTTCATAGCTTTATCCCACCCATACACAGTGGAGGAAGTGGTGCAGGTGTTTATGGATAATATTCACAAACTGCATGGGATGCCGATAGCTATTGTGACAGATAGGGACAGAGTTTTTACTAGCACATTCTTTCAAGAAGTGTTCAAATCTCAAAAGGTCCAATTGAGGTTTAGCACAGCTTACCATCCCCAGACAGATGGGCAAACTGAGAGGGTGAACCAGTGTTTAGAATCTTACTTAAGGTGCATGACATTTCAAGAACCACAAAATTGGTGCTCTTGGATAGCTTTAGCAGAATGGTGGTATAACACAACATACCACACAGCAATACAAATGACTCCATTCAAGGCCCTTTATGGATACAGTCCACCTCAAATCAGTGAATTTTCTGTCCCATGTGATGTATCTCAAGAAGCAAGGGTAACCCTGGAAGAGAAAGAGGCTATAGTTCAGAAACTCAAAGCAAGCATGGAAGATGCACAAAGAAGGATGAAGTATTATGCTGATAGGAATCGAACAGAGAGAAAGCTGGAGGTGGGAGATATGGTATATCTGAAACTACAACCCTATAGACAAAATGCTTTTGGGATCAGAGGATCATTAAAGTTAAGAGGCAAATACTATGGGCCATTCAAGGTGCTAGAGAAGGTAGGTGCTGTAGCTTATAGATTGCAGTTACCTGAAGAAGCTGCTCTACATCCGGTCTTCCATGTGAGCCAACTTAAAAAGCACCTGGGTACTCATGCTGTACCAATGCCAAATTTACCGGCAGTGGGACCAGATGGTCAAATCAAAACAGAGCCAGTAGCAGTGCTGCAAAGGAGAATGATTCCAAGGAACAATGTTGCTGTCACTCAATGGCTAATTCTGTGGAGCAATTTAACTCCGGCTGAAGCAACCTGGGAGGATGCTTCTTATATTCAGAAAGTGTTTCCAAATTTTCAACCTTGAGGACAAGGTTGGGCTTAAGGGGGGAGTAATGTCAGACTCGTAAGAAGAATGGAGGAAATTTCAGAAAGTTCAGAGTTTCAGTTAACTGAAGATGCAAAGGAGGGAGAAAACGTTTCATCCTGGGTAATGAAGATCTAAGAGATGAGACAAAGCCACGTGTTCGAGAGAGGGATCCGACGGTGTTAACGTCATGAGAAGTCGCTGTAGCTATCAAAGCTTGTCGTTTTGCTCTTTACATTCACTGTAATAATTTTAGCTGCTGTAAACTTACTTAAGCTGGCTTTTGCTGTGGGAAGAAGATAAGAAGAATCACAATTTCTATTTGTCTTAGGAGTAGCTAACTTAGAACCCTAGGAGATAGTCTTGCGGCGGCCACCCAAATCCTACCAAAATTCACAAATCGCTACTCTGTTTCTCCATTTCTGGTTCAGGGTTCTGACAGCGGTGAAGTCGACGGCAGGCTGAGGATGGCGACGAGGGCGGCGAGGCCAGTAGCCCCTGCCATATGGATGTCGTCTGCCTAAGCCACCGCCGATGTGTGCCACCACGAAGCACCGCCTTCGCCTCCCCCTCGCTCCGTCCCCATCGCCTCGCGCCACCACCGCCCACTCGCGCCGCCGCTACCACTCGCGCTGCCACCGCCGCCCCCTCAAACCCTAGCCGCCGCCAGCCTCTCCCACGCCGCCATCGAGCGCCGCCGCCTCCGCCTCCCCCTCGTGACATCCCCGTCGCCGTGCCCCGCCACCACCCCCGCCAACGCTGCCGCCTCCACCTCCGCCTCGTATCACCGCGGAGGCCGTGCCCGGTGACGGCGACGGCGTTCCGCGAGGGGAAGGCGCTCGGCAACGGCGGAGGCGGCGACGGCGACGGCGTGAGACAGAGGCGGAGGCGGCGCTCGGCGACGGCTCCGTGAGAGGCAGGGTGAGACGAGAGGGAGGAGGGGACTGGCGGCGGCGGCTAGGGTTTGTGGGAGGGGGAGTGGTCTAGTGCACGTAGTTTTGCAAAAAAGCCCCTCGGTTTTCACTTTTTAGAGCGCGGTCCTAAATCACGATTTTTCTCTCCTTCGCATGGAATATCCGTTTTTCTGAAGGACCTCCACGTAAAGTAACACCTCATGGATACTGTTTGTGAGGGACCTCGATCGAATTACGCACAAAGAGGAGGGTTTTTTTCGCAAAATCGCCACCCCTGCACTGTAGCTATCCGACGTGGACACGCCGAGCAGCCGCCCAGCCCGCCACACTTAATAGTTTGGGGGTAATTGTGTTCTTGTCCCTATTTACAACTGCAATTGTGATTTTACCCTTGTATTTTTAACTCTGTGATTTTACCCTCACTATTTTGAACTGAAGCTCAGGTATGCCCTGTTCCGTTAGGAGGACTTAATGGTGTTAACTGACAGGTAAAAGGACATCTATGCCCTTGCAGATTTGGCTTGTGAGGACTTTGTGTTTTGGCTGTGTTTCACGATTACAGTAGAAAACGGAGGTATGAACTTGCCCTGCATGCTTAATTATTTTAACAACGAAATCCAACTTTGTAACTACACAAGAAATACGATTCTCCAGCATATGTTTAAAAAAAATCAAGGGATTTATTAATTAAGAAACACTATGGACTGAGGTATGAATTCAATGCCTCAATGCCTGACGTATGAACTTGCCCTGCATGTTTAATCATTTTAACAACCTAAGGGATTTATGAATATGCAAACAAGAAACACTACTCTCATCTCTTTCTTTCAACAACAGAATAGCTTTGTTGGTCCTGTCCAGTTTAGGAACCAACCAATAGTCCAAGGCAGTAAGAAAAATAAAAACTAAAGGGGGAGTGACAAAGAAGAAAAAGTAAAAGACAATAAAACTCAAATGTTCCTCTCCTCCTCTCCTTGCTGTTCTTCTCCTCCTTGTCACCATCATGCCTCAGGCGAGCTCCTCGCGGCCATGCTAATGGTGGCAAGGCAGCCTAGCTAGCTACGCATATGCAGCAGTACGTATGTACTCGATCATCTGCTGTGCAGTGGTTCGGGCACTATAGCCGAGGCCGATGCCGACGAGCCCAGTGACCACCACGGCGGACGGCGACGGGCTAGCTCAGCTTGACATCGCCATTTCGCGCCGGCCCAGCCTGCTTCACCCCGCGCTCCTCGCTCTTCTCGCTTGCCCGCGTGTGCCGCCACCGCTCGCGAGGGTTAGGAATCGGGGACGGAGGTCGGAATGGGGTATGGGGATCGGGAGGAGTCAGCAGTGGCTTAGGTTGAAAGGTTTGGGATAGAGATGTCTTTTTACATTTTGCAAGTCAATTTCTTATTTTCTTAAACTCATTTAATCTGAGTCCACCTAACAGACGTTTAAACCAGGGGCAAACAGACCATTCAACATCAAAAAGTGAGGGCAAAATCACAAAGTTTAAAAAGTAAGGGTAAAATCACAATTGCAAATAAAAGTAGGGGCAAGAATACAATTGCCCTAATAGTTTCTAATTGTTAGTGTCTTCAATGAGGCTGTACAAGAACCTGAGCACGGGTGAAATGTGTAGGATCCTTGGTAAATTTTGTTCTAGGTTCGCTGCTGACCACGGCTGGCTCATGCATGCATGCTGTTGTCATCTTGTAGCGCATCTAGCCATGTATCAGTGACTCTAGTTTGATTGTTTTGACGAAGATCATTTTAGTACCTGCCGTCTATTTGATTATTGTACGGTAAACAGTTATCAAGGCTTCATGGCTATGCCATTTAGCTTTGTTAAACAATACCAGATAGCTCATAATTAATTAAGATAACCAAGACTAAGAAAAAAAACAGAGAACAAAGGCTACAAAATTATAAATACTCAGGTAGATGATAATTAAGAGAACCAGAGCTACAATACCAGATAGTACAATTTTTATATTGGAAGCTAAGCTACAAAGCTAAAAGTTACATTCACAGACACTATACATTCATAAATGATGTACCAGTTAATGTCATACTCCCTCCGTCTCAAAAGAGCCAACTTAGGTACCAATGAGACATTACATAGTACAACAAATCTAGACATGTCCCATCTGTACTTAGGTTGGCTTTTTTTTTTGGGACGAAGAGAGTATTTTCGAGCCTGAAAAACAACGACTAGCATGCATAATGTGCAGCTTTCAGAACAGGTAGTTTGTGATGCCATCCCATCACTAGCACTAGCACAAACTGAGAGCAGACATCAACAAAAACACCAGGCATTACAGCTAAAGTTCCAGGAACAAAAGTACAAGTTTAAAGCTCTAATGTTCAGCAGGCACTTTCAGCGCTTGAAGTATGTTTCTTGTTGATCTCCCTCCTGTATTCTTCAGATGTTGCTCCCTTCTCTTCCAGCTGATCATTGCTCCAGGCTCCTGGAATTCAGCCTTCCTCTGTTTCACTTTTCCTCCAATTTCTGCAAAGGTAACCGGGATTTAATACCATGTAAAGTATAATAGACAAGGTTAGTTGGATTTTAAGGCATTTTTCTGCTTAAAACAGGCTGCATTTCGGTTTTCCAGATCAGTGCCATTATTCCCATCATCCTCTTGTCAAGTTTGTCAATGTCTCTATGAATCAACAGCTTCAATAGGACATTTGCAATGGCATGTGAAACTGGTTTCTCAGTTTAAATATGAGTAATCTCATATCTCATCCAGTAACCTTGCAATTCTGCTTACAGCTTCATGAACTCTCTTCCTCCATGTTATCTTCACTATCTATTAACTGAAGTGGTACCTTTTCTTTTACGTAAAACTGATGTGGTACCAATCATGCAAAATAAGAATCTGAAGAATGCAAATGATAGCGCAAGAATAAGAGGTGAAAACTATGAACAATATAGAGTAGCAGGATCTTATAATATACTCACTAAAAACAGATAAGATGTATATATACTGCTCCAAACAAAATGGCATAGGAGAACAAGGTTCAGGAATCGGGAGATGAATTAGCTTAAAAACTTGGTAGCTTCAACCGCACATTATTTACTTAAAGTTAAAGAAGTGATCATGAAAAGAATCAGGTAGTAATCCGTAGTTTTTTTGTTTTTTTTTTGGTCTACCACAATAAAAATCAACTAATTGGAAGCAACAGTTAGCATAACGTATATGCATCAAATTTCTAACATGAATTCACAAGAACTTGTACTAAATTACTAGAACAACATTATGTTGAGTGAGTAGGCAGGAAAGTTTTTCAATACAATAGACAGCAAGAAAAAGCGCAAGAATCTTGCAAGAACTGAAACCCAACAGCTTCGCCTCACAGATCAATCATTCAATCCCCAAATATAACATCCGAGAACAATTTCAAATCAACCGAATCGAGGGCACACAATCCCACGAGAAGCATGCACAGCAGGGCAGGGAGAGAAGGAGATCGAAGAGATTGAGGGGAGCGACCAACTCACAAGTTGACGACGAGCGACGGGGAAGGTGGCACCGGTGAAGGGAGGAGGACACAGGGGAGGTGGCACCAGCGACTGATGGGCGGCGAGCGGAGGAAGCGGTTGTCCGGCCACGGGAGCGGACGGAGGCATCGTGTTGTGTCCACAGCTCGGCGCTACCGAGCTCGCCGCCGTGCAGCACCAGCCCGCGATCGCCACCATCTTCCTCCCGAATCCAAGCCCCAGCAGCCACCCCATCCTCCTCCCGCACACTCCTCCTTCGGTCCTTCCATCGTGGCCGCGGCGGCGGGGAGACATTTTCTCAAACAGCTCGTGGGCAAGCCAGCCGCCGCCCGCCGGCCTTGCACAACTTCCTCCGCAAGTCGCATCCCACCGGGGGGTGTGGGGCCCACAAAATCTCAGGGCCGGACATGGAGCAAATGGTCCCAGGTGACGTGGTCCCCACGTAACTAACCGACTGCCAGATCAGATCGAACACGCAAGCCAAGCGGCCAACGCCACGTAGGCCGGCGACGGCGAGAGCTCGAGCTCTGCCGCTGTATATATTCGCTCGCTCTCGTGTCGCCGCAGCGAGCAAGCCGACGCCGCCCTCGCCTCGCCATTCCCGTACCACAAGTCTTGGTCGACCTCAACGCAATGGCCGACCCGTCGCGATCCACCAGCAGCGGGGCGGCGAAGAAGCCGTCGCCGAGGAATCCTCGGTGCGCCGCATGCAAGTTTCTCCGGCGTGCTTGCTCGCCGGAGGAGTGCCGGTTGGCGCCCCACTTCCCGGCCAGCCAGCCGGAGCGCTTGCAGAGCGTGGAGCGCGTCTTCGGCATGAGGAAAGTGCTGGAGCTGGCTCACAAGGCCGGGCCGGAATACCTCGACGACATCCTCAGCTCCATCGTCTACGAGGCCGAGGCGTGGGGCAGAGATCCCGTCTGGGGTCCCACCGGCGTCGTGGGAGCCCTCGAGCTCGAGATAGGGACCGCGCGCGCCGACCTCGCCGTGCTCCAGGGCCAAGACCAGGACCAGCCGCCGGCGGTGGCCACGCTCCCCGAGCCCGAGCTCGTCGTCCACCCGCCGACGATGGCGCAGGATGAGTCGAAGCCGTCCTCGACGACCTCGTCATCAAGCGGGACGACGACGACGACGACGAAGAAGAAGAACAAGCCTAGATGCGCCGCGTGCAGGTACCTTTCGAGGAGTTGTTGGCCGGAGTGCTTGCTGGCGCCCTACTTCCCGGCCGGCCAGCCACCGGCGCAGTTCGGGAATGTGCACCGCCTCTTCCGCCTCAACAACGTCCTCCGGATGATGGAGGAAACCAGGCGGGAGGAGAGGGACGATCTCATGGCGGCTATCGTCTACGAGGCGGATGCTTGGGCCAGGGACCCCCGGTACGGCGTCGCCGGCGTCGTGCGGAGCCTAACGAACGAGCTCGCCCGCGTCCGCCTCGACGAAATCGCCTTCCACCTCCTCGGCACCGACGAGACCTACGACGGCTACAAGGAGGAGGACGCGCTCGCCGTCGACCCCGTGAGCGGCGCCCAAGCGGGCATCGGGGTGCTCGGTGGCTCGGGCGCGGACCTCCAAGAGAATACCGGCATCCTCCTCGGCGCCGACGAGCCAGGCCCAGGCGAGCTCGCCGTCGACCCAATCAAAGACGTCTTCGACATCGACAGGTTACTCGCCGTCGACGATGACTTGTCCTCCGGGACCCAGCCCTGATACCACCGCCGGCGACAATTAATGGAAGGTACGTCCTGTCCGATATCCATCAAAATGCTTTCGTTCCTCGTAATCATCATGCTTTGGTGAATTCTTGATAACCTAGTCCCTTCGATTAGAAATCATGCATAAACACGACTAGTGAATATTCTTGTAAAACATTTGATCTACACCGAAATTCCCCTTAGTTGTTGATGATGTGAACTTCTTGCAAGACGATAAAATAATCAAGTCCGTGATGGGAAATTATTGTAAACCGAAATTTTTGCTTCTAGAACAGTTCGGCCCTCCTTTTGATTGTACTGCTAGAGATCATCTCTTCCTCTGGGAGAAGCAAAATACTGAAGCTTTTCCTTTTCATGTTCAGAAGTTGCAAAAAAGGCTCATGTGCAACAGAACAGTAAACTTCCTTGAGCATTGAGGAGATAAGTAGATAACATATAGTGCTATATATCAGTCATAGGCATCGGAATATCACAGGAATTGATAGACAGTGTGTTCCTTGCAAACTACAGCATGTTCAACACTTATTTACTTATTTGGTGAACAGAAAATTGGACCCACAATGAGGTGCCTCACCAGTTACCAGCAAGTTTGCTATTGAACTTAAATGTCGCTGCCAATTTGAATCAATAGGGCGTATTGAATTATGTTTTACAAGTTCTAGTTTTATGCACACATGTTTGATCCCTTCCAACAGTGTTACAATCATCAGCCAGCAGGCGATCATCTGGTTGGCACTGAGAAACAGCATTTTAACTAAAGATAATTTATTTGAAAGAGGGTCTTGAAAAGGAAGTAAGAAATGCCAATTTTGTAATGAAGAAGAAGCAATAGATCACTTGTTCTTTAAATGCCAATTAGCTCGGTTTGTGTGGAGTGTAATGAACTGTGTTTTTGCCTGTGGCATTCCAAATGGAATGAGGGATGCCCTGGGAGAATGGATGAAACAATTTAATAGGACTCAAAACTGGTGGCAGTGGGAGTGGCTGCCCTTTTTTGGGCAATATGAAAATGCAGAAATAAAGCTTGTTTTGAAAATCTGCTACCAAGAGACCCGTTGACATTTTTTTTTTCAGATTACTCACTGTATATCATCATGGGGAATGTTGCAGAGCAAGGAGGACGAAGCAGAAAAGGCAGGTAGAAATGAGGTGTATGGACTGCAGCATGGATGGTGTTTGAGAAGAAGGATACAATGGTCAAGATGCAGAATGGGTTTTTGTAGCCTGGAATGTGATACTGCCATGACCATGCTGCTATCTTCCATGAAAGATGCAGAAAGTGTTCTTTTGTCGCCTGGAATGTGATATTGGGGCTCGAGAAAATGGATATTTGGCTACGTTCAAAACTGGGTTTCGCTATTATGCCATCCTCAAAACGTGATTCGATAAAATACTATTTCCGAGCACGTATTACTCGCCAAAGTGCCATTTTTGCTGTTTTATTCATTTCCAAAACGAATTTCACTCGGCTGTGGGGTGATGAGACGAAAATGCCCTGTTGACAGGTGGGACCCCGGGCTTGTTATCCCCTTGCAGCGAGCTCAATCTTTATACTGTACAGCAATGAATGGAAACGAAGAATTGTCGTCGGCGCGCCGCACGGTGGCCTTTCGGTAGAACCACTTCCCTACCACCGACCCCATCATAAACAACATCGACATTGCCACGATGTCTCATCCCGCGTCGTCACCGTCACAGCCAGCTTCTTCACCGCCGCTGCCGGCTTCTTCACGTAGATCTCATCTCCCCCTCCCCCACCCGCCTCTTCTCTCCCTCCTGCAGAGAAAGAAGTGTCCGCAAACGTCCCCAGCAGCCGCCGCCTCCGCCCCCTTGAGCTCCTTCCATCTACGTCGTCGCCGTCGCTGCCCTCCTTGAGCCCCATCGCCGTGGACCTCCCACCACCGCCGCCGCCTCCTACGGACGCGACGGTGATTGCCGCCACCAACCACCTGCTCCAGATCACGCGAGCCTCGCGACCGAAGAGCTCCGGGCGCAACGGTAACCCGCCGGTGAGGGAGCTCGAGGAGGGAGGAGGGATTGCCAGGAGGGAAAGGGATGAAGCGTCACCATCCGTGGAGATAAAGAGGAGGGTGGGACCCACTGACATGTGGGCCCTAGTAATTTGATGTTTTGTTTGACTGACGTGTGGGACCCACATTTAAAAAAAAATCAATTGCACTCCTAGTCCACGTCACTACCACGCAGGACAAAGACGAAGTCAGACTAGTCACATAGACGCCACGTCATCCAAACCGCCTTAAAACTTTATGTGCACTGGTTTTGTAAGTTGGGGGATGCCTTGTATCCGGTTTTGCGCATCAGGGATGAAAATCAAACTGGACGACAAATTGAGGGACCTAAAGTTCAGACTGGCGATAAATTGAGGGACCTAAAGTGAACTTATTCCGAGTAAAAATGGGTGGACATTTTATATTCAAGAAATAATAATAATACCAGCAAACTTTGCAGCGAAGTTGCATAAACACAAACACATAGGAACAATTATCTCTGTAATTCGCAGATCCATCATATTGTCACCTGTTCTAATAACTTAACAGTATAAAGTATTCACATTGATAAGACTGGCATTCGTATTTTTCCTCGGCTACATTGCAGAGACAGTATTGTATATCTAACATCACGATTTTTTTGCTGCGCCCAGCAGAATTTACAGTAACAAATCTTCAATCCTACAAACTCCTGGCTTGCATTACCTGAGAGTGTTCGTTTCCTATATTTAAGCTCTGTTCCAGGAGCTTATGCTATTCATAGTACAGACTTCTATCGAAGTGGGTAATTGATATACAGATATTCAGACGTTATAAACACGTTCCACTATTCTAAGGACAGATTGTATTCTTCTCATGCCTCTAGTGTTCCACGAACTGCATCGGCTCCACAAGGTATGGGCAGTCATCAACCCAACCACAAGGCCTTCCGACGAACTCCTCGACATCGAAGGAGCCAATCCCAGCCTTTTCTTCCTGCTCCATTCCAGTTTCAGGTAAGGCGTCCAGCTCTTCCCAGACATCATCACACATATTCTCAATATTCTGGAAATTGCACATTGGAGTGGTCTCCACTTTCCCAACTGTGCCACAGCCAGTGCTCCCTGGAGAAACATCAGCTTCCATCACAGATGCAGCTTCCATACCTTTGTTCAATGGCGAATCAGCATGCTGTTCTTCGTTTTCCATCAGCCGTTGTCTTTTCGCGGCGCCTCTTAGGCCATTCTTATTCACATAGTTGAGTAGAACCTGCTGCACGAAAGCCGGGTTGGTGAGTACCTTGGCAAAGAAGCCGATGGTCTGCTGTTGCCTTCTCTCGATGTTGCGGACCATCTCCTCCATGGCAATGAGCTGAGATTTACAGGCGTTGTACTGCTGCTTAAGCATGATGACCTCAGCTCTGAGGGCTGCACGGTCTCTCTTCAAGCTCACAACCTCACCAGGAGCCTCAGGCTGTCCAAAAACAACACTTGCTTTATTTCTTAGTTGTGAATCCACGAGAGGCTTGGAAACACGCCTCCTCTTGATGTTTTTCAGCAAATGCTTCTGACCAGCTAAGAAGGCTTCATTTGCAAACTCCCACCGATCTGGAGTGACCTTTCGGAACCCCTGCATAGCAACAACAGGTAGAGGCCGGTAAGTTTTTCTAGAAGCAGCTGCAGGGAACCAAACCCAGTCTAGAAAGTCAGCAGTATTTAGGGATTGAAAACTGTCAATGGTAGGTATACGCATATTAACAAAAGAATCAGTCTATGGTTTTAGTCTATCAGAGATTAAACTAGCAATTTCACTTCTGTGTTCTACCGTTGAACCACAGGACCAGCATTACCCAGAAGCTAGAAGGTTCAGTTGCCTGATATGAAATGTCTATTTACAGCAAGAAAAGTATATAGATAATATCAAAACAGCAAGAATGGTGGTGCCATTAGCAATAAACACAAACAGGCCAAATAACCGAGAACACACTGCTAGATAAGCTCATTGACAAGAACAAGGTAACTGTTCTGTACTTCTGTAGCTCATTGAATCAGATAAGCTCATGTATGTACAAAAGCACGGAGCTCCACATCATCAAAAAAGACAAAAGAAAAAGTGGGGGAGCATAGTTCACCTAGATCATGTTACCATCACCTTTCCCTTTTAACTATTAAAGGTATGGACAGGTCATGAGGTATTAGGTCTTTCAGAGTGGTGGAAAAAGACTTCAAGATTTCGAGTACGACATACGAGCTACCTGGACACTTGTAATGCCCACAAGAAGGAATATTATCCACTTTAAGTATTTTAGGGATCAGTATCTTGGATTGCAACGTGAACAGACAGAACATAGGTCATATCCAGTGACAGTGGAGCAGATGAAATCCAATCCAAGTGCATCATCACAAAGGGGCTAAAAACCAAGACAAACATTTGTCCCGTAGTACAGATGGATGCAAGTAACTAGCATGACTTTGCATCGTACAATACAAGTATACCACCACTGAACATTCAGCATCCTACAAAAACATGGCTGAGGATTTCAGTTTCTTGGTAAGACAAAATTTCTGGTATGCACCATCCTAAACTAGAGGTGGAACAAAATTGTATATACAAGGGATGGTTCTATACCATTTGCAGTCCAATATTAACCAATTTAGGCATGATTTTTAAATTCTGGTCAAACTTCTAGAATTCTCCTGCTATTATCACCAATTTTGACAAAACAGGATATTGTATATGCGAGCGCATTCGTGGACACGAACAAACCACAGCATAGGACAGTACCAGTTCATACATGATACGATTCTTGATTAGTACGGAAACGCAGCAAGGATTTCCCACGAATTTGGTATCACTCCTTTTCAAATTTCATTCTCATAATCAGTTATCTTGTTCGATCAACTAACAACTATTGTCTCACCAGCATCAACGATTCAATTTACACGGGAAACAGAAGCACACGAGACCGATCAGCGGTTCACAGAAAGAACACCACCCACACCACAAGCAGCAGATCGGGCGATTGGGATACGTACGTAGGTGTTGAGCTGGCGAACGAAGGAGGAGAAGTTGGCGTGCTTGAAGAAGCGCGGGAGCACGCCGGCGGCGAGCGCGTGCGGGTCCCACACCACGAAGGAGGCCCCCGAGCCGCCGGGCCCCCACGACACCACCGCGTCGGTGGCCGCGTCCGCCACCATCTCGTACGTCTTCGCCACGAACGGCGCCGGCCCCGCCTCCCCGAGCCCCTCCATCGGCCGCGGCGGCGGCGGCACCACCCCCAGATCACCCCCGCCCCACCCCTCCCCCGCCTCGGGCTTCACCTCCCGCTTCACCGGCGCCGCCGCCGCCATTCCCCCCTCCCCTCCTCCTCCGGAGAAGCGGCGGGTGGTCGGCCTGGGGATGAGTAGTCGGCAGAGGGAGGAGGAGGAGGAGGAGGACGCCATGTGGGAATTGGGATGCGCGGCGCGGCGAGCGCGAGGTGTTTGGGGTTTAAGCATTTGACACGCTCTTCGCCTCCGCTATAATAATAGTAGAGAAAGCCGTTGGTTAACCCCACGGGGGGAAAGCGGTGGCAATGCATGGCTAACACGAGGGCACGGATTGCCACCTGACTCACCACCCTCCCCTCCTGCTGCCGCTTGTGTGCACTACTAGCAAGTGTTTTCCACGTTCACACTAGATTCATTAACATCAATATTAATGTGAAAAATGTTTACATTGTAAAAGGGAGGGAGTAGAAAACTTCTCTAGATAATGAGTGTGACTTAATACCACATCCGTCCCAAAATAAGTGTAATCGTGAGTATCCGTGTCCTACGTTTGATCGTCCGTTTTATTTGAAAAATTTATAAAAAAAATTAAAAACAATTAGTCGCACATAAAATACTATTCATATTTTATCATCTAATAACAATAAAAATATTAATCATAATTTTTTTAAAAAATAAAACGAACGGTTAAACTTTAGATATAAATAGTGTAAAACTGTGGACGGAGGGAGTAGTTTATACACATACTCCTTTCGTCCCAAAGTAAGTGCAGTTTTGTATGATTCATCTCCAATGTTTGACCGTTCGTTTTATTCGAAGAATTTTTATGATTACTGCTTTTATTGTTATTAGATGATAAAACATGAATAGTACTTTATATGTGACTAATTTTTTTAAAATTTTTCGTAAATTTTTTAAATAAGACGGACGGTCAAATATTGGATATGGATTTTTACGGCTGTACTTATTTTGGTAGAGATGTAGTATATATTGATTTGAAAGAAGCATGATGTTGGCAGTTTTAAGAAGATGATGGTACGGACTACGGAGAGGTTGCCAGTTTTAAGAAGAATATAAGTGTTTGTGTCTCGTCTACAAGAACGTGCATAAATATAATGGTTTGGTAGAGGGACTGGTAAACTGTAGAAATGCTTTTAAATACCGATATGTCTTTTTGTAATATAAAAATTCAACCGAACGGTTTCGATCAGCCCGGGTAGCTAATATTGAGATTAGCATAATGGCTATCACGTACGGAGTAGCTCATATGGCTATCGTAATGTGGCCAATGGCATGATTTTCAACTTTGAGGGCCTTTTCACTTTGATGTCATTTTCAACCTTACCAAGTTTTGATAAAGTTACCAAAAAAGTGGTTACATTTAGTTTACTGCCAAATTTTAGTAACTATATAAGAAATCCTGCCAAAATTTTGGCAAGTTACCAATTTTGGTGCCAAAATTTAATAAGTTTTTTTTTTTTTGCATCAAAGTGAACAGGCCCTGATACTTTGAGCTACAACCGATGAGCTGTGGAAAATTGAATGAAGTTGCATACGATGAAAAACTTTAAAATCAACTTAAAATTAGGTCCTAAAATTATGGCTGATAAACTAACAAGATGATGAGAGATAATATAAGAGAAATAGAAACATCTAGTCATAAGAAGAATGAATAGAAAAAAGAAGAGAGAACTATGGTATTGTCTTACACATCTTGAAGATGTTTTCATGGCTAGGCCAAAAACCATTTAAATTTTGCGAAAGGGCCTGTAGCCTAGTGGTTACAAGAGCCTCACTAGCACCTGAGGTCCTGGGTTCGACTCTCCATGGGAGCGAATTTTCCAGGATTTAACGGCGTCGTGCTTTCAGTGGTAGGCGACGTACCCGTCGACAGCGAGACGCCTGTGGTGACTTCGTCAATCTCTCTAGAATTTGCCGGCCCAGTCTTCGAAGATGCTCATAGGGGTAGGGTTTACGTGCGTGTGTTCATAGGGGTGAGACGCCTGTGGTGACTTCGTCAATCTCTCTAGAATTTGCCGGCCCAGTCTTCGAAGATGCTCATAGGGGTAGGGTTTACGTGCGTGTGTTCATAGGGGTGAGTGCGCATGCGTTGTGAGTGTCTGCGTTGTACTGTGTAATTCTAAAAAAAAACCATTTAAATTTTCAATGAGTTTTAGACCCCTTTGAAACACATAATTAGCAAAATAGAGAAACAGAAAAAAAAATGAAGAAAATTTACATAAATGTAAGTGCAAATAGAAGATTATGAAAAAAAACAATAATTATCATTTGGATAAACCCAGAAAAAACACAAGAACGGGTCGAGAGAGATAAACTCTTCTAAGAGGTTAAAACTCTTACTAATTTTCTTCAAAATCTCTAAGACCATTCATTCCATACAAATTTAAAAGAAATTGATAAGATTCAATTAATTGATTCGAAGTTCTTTATAGAAATATTTTATATAGAATTAAAATCCTCTAAATTTTCTACAGATGGGGCTGCCCATGATTATACTATCCCTCCAAAGTTGGTGCACAAAACAACAAAATAAATCTAGCTGACACGTGCGAGCTCACGACTAGTCCGTCTAGCTGACACCTGCTTGACTGCTTTATTATCTCGAGTGCAGCACAGTATCTCCGGCAAGTCATCCGCGGCAGGCACACACACACTGGTATCGCCTCCGGAGCATCCACGTACACAAGGCTACAGCCACGTCGCACAAGGGTAGGGGAGCCAACGAGGCACAGAGCCAAACAACAACCTGCCATGCGCCGCGCAGGCAGCGACTCCATCCCCGGTTAGTCATCAAACCCAAGTATTTTTTCTATATTTTTTCAATGGTTTTTTTGAAGCGGCGGGGTACGTGTAGAATTTCCTGACGAATTCATCGGCAACAGGAGTCCGCAGCTTGCATTTTTCTTCTCATCTTCTGCTTGTCATTCACCAGTCTGAAAATAAAATAATCCTGGTTGGATACGCAGGGAACAAGAGCACCCAACAAGCAAAGCTCAGCATGGCGTCCAGATGAGAGATCATGATTAGTGTTCACGAATAAACTACTAGCAAAAGAATGGTTGAAATGGATTCAAGGACAGAAGGCAGTGGTTAGGAGAGCCAAGAAGCGCACACAGACGGCTGTTTGAAGTTGAACCCTGCCAGCTGCGATTGTGCAGATGTTGGATGTGTAAAAATTTGGCCAATCAGTCCAATTGCCTAGTTTATTTCGTAAAGATAATTCGGTACATGGCACTACTGCTTCTGCTGCAGCTGTCCCTCCACAGTGAGGGCGGTAAAGGGTGCAGAAACTGTGAGCTCTTAGATGTTCACGAAATGGATGATGTGAAGGTGCAGAAGAGCTATGGGTTTTTCGTTACACTGAAATTCTGTGCCTGCCCTTGGCAATCCTGCGCGCAATCACCTTACGCCCACCTTTGGTTGATTTTCTATTGATGAAAAAGAAATTAATGGAATATCAATGCACTGAACACAAGCACCTGAACCACAATTATGTTCCAGAAAATACCAACAAAACTAACACTGGTGGTATGATTGGATTTTGGTATTCAAAAATAATTTTCCCATAACAATGCAGTACAAAAGAGAATGATATTAACTTGAAAAACATAGCATCTTTTGCAGGGGCCTTAGCACAAGCAAAACAACGGAAAGTTCAATCAGATTAGTAGATATCAATACCGTGTAAGAAACCCATGGGTTCTTTTCCGCTTGATGGTACTGGGCTGATAAGTTCTTTTTGGAAGTAGCTCCAGGGGTTCATTAGCAACAGGATCCTTTCCTAAGAAGAGCAAAAGGAATAAGAAACAAATTAGAAACCATGGAGCCAGTCTGATTGATGTAAATAACCATTTCGCCCTAGCTCACCAGATCACAATCATACTCCTAGAAGCTAACTTACTAGCCATTTTAGTAGCATTCATGTAACAAATAAGACAAAACTTGAGCAGCAGTACAACAAACAATATTATATGCCACCACGCAGATAAACCCAGATTGCAAAATATGAGTTCTTCCCTATTTCTCAAAATATATATGGCCAGAATTTAGATTTGAAGTAATTAAACCACAACATCATAAGTTGAGTTGGTTGTATTACGGTTATGTATGCTAACTTTGAGTTGGTTGGTTGATGGGTAACTGTGAAATGTTCTGCATATGATGAAGAACTAGGTCCCGATCGGTGATGTCCTCATAAGCATATCTCTGGTTGCTATTCAAGCTAAGAAATTGCATCCAACTATTCATGAGATTGAAAATAGCATATACTGTATTACAATTATTGCATGATTCCATGCATAATATGGTGATCATTAAGTAAAATCTGAAGGTAATTCGCCAAACCACAATATGACCAATATCACTATTTGAAACTGCAAGTCATCTTTTATTATTTTCATAAAGCTGTTGGTCAAGACCTGGTCCATGTTATAGATTAACAATAAAAAGAGAACAACAGACAGTAGTACATTCTATGATTCACATGTGCAAAACATAACAAAATTGCATATCGATGACAACTCCTTCACAATTGCATGATATACAACAAAAAGGGAAACAATAGACATCTTCTCAAATCATAATAACTCCAAGCAATAAAATAGTTGCCAATACCAAATGCTACAAAGAATTAGGCTGCCCACGCACCAAATCAGCCAAACCAAGGGACATTAACTAAAGTAGAATTCCTAAACCACTCTCACAGCATTGAGCAAATGAACCAAATTTCATAAACATTCACACTGGATCGAGCGCACGAAGCATGATATGAACATATTATCCCAATTCATTCGTGCACACTCCGCAAGGCCTCAACCATAGTACATTCTATGATTCACATGTACAAAACAGAACACATGTGGACCAGATCGAACAATCACACAACTTATCATATCAATGACAACTTCTTCCCAATTGCATGATATAAAACAAAAGGGGAAGCAGTAGACATCTTCTCAGCTTATAATAATTCCAATCAATAAAACAGTTGCCAAGACCTAATGCCACAGTTAAGCAGTAAAAGGACTGCAGAGAATTAGGCTGCCCACACACCAAATCAACCAAGGGACATTAACCAATGTAAAATTCCTAAACCACTCTCACAGCATCGAGCAAATGAACCAAATTTCCCAAACATTCTCACCGGATCAGGCGCACGAACCATGCCATTAACATATTATCCCAATTCATTCCTGCAAGCTCCTCCAAGCCTCAACCATAGCTAATAATCTAAGCACACCAACACGACTGAAACCAAACAGAGCAAGCATTTCTGTCGAAATCAGATACCGGCTTCAACTCATTATGTAATGTCCTGCACTATATGCATGAAATGGCATGGTAACGATTCTTTCCCTCCTTATACATCCCCCGTTCACCATTGATCCAACAAAAAGGATAAAGCTAACGCACGATCCGAATACTCAAACAATGCAGCGGCCATCCTAACAAGGGAGGAGAGGACCGTACCGTCTTCGATGATGAACCGGAGCGAGGGGAGGCCGCAGGGGAAGGAGATCTCTCCTGGGAGCGAGCTCAGCCTCGCCACCGCCTGCGCCTCGTAGGCCTCCACCGTCGTCTCCGGCCGCGGCTGCGGCGGCGGCGGCGGGGGGACGAGCGGCTGGATCCTGGAGAGCAGCGACGGCGGAGGCAGCCCCGCGCGAAGGGGAGACGGGGACGCGAGGAGGCGGCCGAGGAGGGAGGAGCCCGCCCGCGCTAGGGTTTTCGCCGACGACATTGCCGAGGACCTGAGAAACCCTAGCTTTCCGCCCCACTTTCTGCTCGAGCTAATGGTGAACTGGTCTCGGGCCAAATGGGCCTAATTGACTGTGTGGAGTGGAGCCCACTTTAGCTAGCTAGGCCCAAATAAGAAAACAAGCCCAGCCAATAGCAGTGGCCTAACTGTGTGACTTTTTTTTTTCTAAAGAAAACGGTAAATTTATCGGGATGACATTAGTACTCCCTCCGGTGCCAAATAATAGTCGCTTTAGATTAAGAAACACAGTAAAAAAAACTAAGAAAATAAAATAGTCTTTTTTCTTAAAAAACATAGTCGCTCACAGCGTGCGGGTACAACCTGTCCTTAAGCACTGAAAGGACCTTTATATCGCCTAGAGGGGGGTGAATAGACGTTTATAAAAATTATCACAACTTCATAGCATATTGGAATGATGAGAATTTTATATTTAAATCGGAACTTCCGGTATGTGATTCGAAGTTCCGATCTCAACAGAAAAGTTAGGCGGATAACGGAATAAAACACTAGCTATGAACTTGTACCTCAAACAAACAAAATGTGTATGAATCAAAATGTGACAAATAAGGTATCTAAGTAAGATATAAGGTCACCAACTAAATCAATTAAGCATGCAAGTACATCGGGTAAAAATAAGCTCAAGCACAATATGAGAGAATGCAAGAATGTGCAAACCAAGAGAAGAGACACGTGATTTATTTCCCGAAGTTTTCCGTTGAGGAGCTACAAGGGCCGGGTCTATTTCAACCATTTCCTCACGAGGTAGCACAAATGTACTCCTTGGTTTCACTCTTGATTTTTTCTCTTGCGGAGGCGAAATTGAAGCCTTCACAAACTTTCCGTAGCACACCACAACCTTGGATGCTCACCGGCGATGCCTAACCGTCTAGGAGACCTTAGTCCCCAAAAGTAACAAACACAATCGAAGATTTGCTTGCTATGAACTCGAGTGCTCAAAGTATAGAGTGAAGCTCACTAGCTCTCAACTTCTCAATCTCTCAATCCAACTCTCTCCCCTTCTCAAATTCCTCTTACAAAGAGGCACCACAAAGGTAGGAAATGTGGATGTCTATTTGGCTTTGGATGTGTCTAATACTCCCCAAGAACAACAGCCACTCAAGGGAGGGGTGGAGGAGTTTATATACCGAGCCTCTCAAAAACTAGCCATTGGAGGCAAAGACTGGAATTTTCGGAACTTCCGAAAATTTACAGAAGCTAAACTCGGTTTCGCAGCCATTTTCGGAACTTCCGATAATTTTTCGGAATTTCCGAAAAGCACAAAGTAAAATAACCATAACTTTTTGCTCGGGAGTCCCATTTTGATGATCTTAGACTCTATGGAAAGCTCACTCAGAGGACTACCCAACTCAACCAAAAACAAGATCTAAAATCACTTAAAGGATAGGTTAAAGTTTAGATTTCTCTCAAGGTAGCACTATGATAGGTCACTTTGATCATCGAGACATACACAAACACATCAACGTTGCATCCCTCTTGATAGTACGGGATTCCTATACTCAAATTTAAATAGTAGGAGAATTGTACTAATGGAAATGCTTTCTTTCCATCTTCCTTTCATTGTTTTAAGGGACGCCAACGCCAAAACCGTTTCACCATATATTCTTCAAATGATTGATGTGGTTACTTGTAGCTTCAAATGGTCTCGCACGGTCCATCATGACAAAGCCGTCACTCGCCCTTCACCACCGGATTCAGTTCTTCGGCGCCAAGCCCCTTGCTTGCCCTTCACCGCGCATGGTTCATCACGACCAAGCATTGCTTGTCCTTCCCCGTCTTGCCATAGTAGCCACTTTATATCCCACATCTTCAATATCTCCATTTTGTCATTCTTGGTATTATTAGGTGTAATGATACCATTTGAGTATCAACACCTTTGTAATCCTTGGGAACTATTTCTCTCATTCAACTCAATAAAATTATTAGTCTCAATGATTCGGTTGTCAACTTCCACATATTGACCAACCGATCGCATATATAAAATGAGATGAATAAGTGATGAGTATTTGATGAGTATTAATCAACACCACAAGTGTGATATACTCAAATATAAAGATCTCAATTAAATGAAAGTGAATAACTTGGATCAAGTGCATGCATAACTAAGGTATAGAATTTGCTCCCCCTAAATGTATGCATACGGAATGATTGTGTGAAGCAAGAGTATGCATAAATAGAGATGAAATATTGGGATCTTATCCTATAAAAAAATAGAAGGCGTTTATCGAATATAGATATTAGAATAAAAGCATACCTTCATCATCTCCACGTCCTCAACGTAAATAAACTAAACAAGCGATAAAACTCAAACAAAACATTAGTCTCACATGCATATGTCAACCACATGAAAATGTTATATATGAATATATCAATATGTGCATGGAGAGAAAGAGTGATACATATAGCTCGATCTCCATGCATTTAATCCTTGTGATTTGGATCCACCATCAATGAACGTTTATATCTCAACTCATATGAAGTTTGGGAATCAGCTCTCACAAATTTCACTTTCATATCCACATGAGACTAAGCAAAGAAATGCTTATAAAAACATTAGTCTCATATAATTGGATTTGTCATTAATCACCAAAACCAAATTAATGGTACTTAAGCTTTCTAGCACCTTCGAAAGACTGGGCCAACATATCTTGAGATTGATAAAGCCACCAGGACGTCTTGTTGTCGATGAGAATCAATGAAAGAATAAGCATGGCTCTATTTACTTATTCTGCATTGAAAAAAATTGAAAGAGTCGGATAAGTACTCCCCCGTCCCAATAACAAAGTTCTTTTAATGTTCTAATATAATTTAAATATTATTTGATAAAATAGTGTTATTGGATTGACATTTCAAATTATTTTCCTGTGGTTATGATTTTATTGCTATAAAGATAATAAGTATATGAGAAATTTAAAATCAAATATTAATTTTAGAAACCGTAACCCCACCTTAAAGATGGAAAGGATCCTAAAAATCGTAAAATAACCTCTGTTTAGCGAAGAGTTAGATGTCTGAAACGACTTATATTTGGTATAGGATGAAATAAAGTACGTGTAGCGACCACTTATCAGAAAAATACTATTAAAAAACCTATGGGTTTGAGCCCATAAAGGCACCGAAACTTTTCATATATGAAAGAATGTTATATAAGGAGGAGAGGGGCGTTCATACTGTACATTTGGTGCTACAGGAATGAATGAGAAGAGAGTCTCACTCCATGTCTCCACTTTTATAAATATTATGCAACCCATCTGTACTACGGATGTGCTCCATCCGTTTAACAATGTAAGACTTTCTAGCACTGCCCACATACATATAGATGCTAATGAATCTAAACACATACATGAAGTCTTACATTGTAAAACAGAGGAAGTAATACAGGGGTTGCGTAATAAATACTTCGTCAACGGTAATTTTCGTGCTAGTGACATGCTAGGTCAGCGCTAGAATATATAAATCAATTCATCGATGAACAAAGCATAAAAATTAGTACTCTACAAATTAACGAGAGTTGTGCATGGTGAAAATAGCATATTCCAGTTGCTACGAGGGAATCAAATTAACGTTAATCCGATATAGGTTTTCCGGATTAATAATCGGTCTAAATGCAACACAAAAGAGAGAAGAAATCACGGAGCTAAGCTAAGATTATCCACTCGTGCCCGTACGCGCTCCTCGTATACGCATCCTACTATACCCAAATTGAACCTTCGCTAATTACGTGCAGCTACCGAACAACCATGACGATTACAGCTTGTCTGCTTCAAGTAATCAACTCGCATTTACTTCTGAGATACAGATTGAATTTGAAAAATATGCCACATTTTTAGTGACACATCGACGCTGTTCTTCCATTTGTTCGATCGATCCATCCATACTGATTAAATTAGTATCAGGAAATTGATCACTGTAGACTAGGAAGCAAAAGATGTCAGCATCAATCCGGGGTGCTTAGATTCAGGGCTGTAAAGTTTTAGCGAATCACATCGCGTACTATATAGGGTGTCGTATGGGTTGTGCGGGCACTAATAAAAAAAAACTAATTACAGAATATAAACCACGAGACAAATTTATTAAGTCTAATTAATCTGTTATTAGCAAATATTTACTGTAACACCACATTGTCAAATCATGTAGCAATTAGGCTTAAAAGATTCGTCTCGCAAATTAGTCGCAATTTGTATAATTAGTTAAGTTTTTAGCATATATTTATTACTTTATGCATGTGTTCAAATGTCCGATGTGATAGGGTGTAAAATTTTTGTGTGGGACTAAACAGGGCCTCCAATTCTCGATGACACACATGCCATCGATGGCTCGCTAAATTTCTGATTTTGATTTTGATGCCCGCAGCAAGAACCGACATAAACGTGTTCATCCTCCGATTGGCCGCGAGAGACGAGCAATGATGATGGCAGCGGGAGAGCTTCATCATCTTCTTCCTCTTCCTCGTGTTCGTTAAATCCATTGGAATTGATGTTTTTGCAGGTCTTAATCTCTCGCTACTGGCTAATTAAAAGCGTCGTGAGCTGTCTGCCGGCTCCTCCTTCTCTCATCCCCTCATCTGCTCCTGCTTAATTATCTCGATTTAAGGCGCCGGCCGTTCCTATCGCTCTTAATTTTCAGATGTTTCTGTCAATCAGGAATAGTCTTTTTTTTTTGTTTTCTGATAATAGGGGAGATCTTTGGAGCACGAGTTGTTTGGCTATGAAATCTGCAGCAAAAATGTACATTTTTCCTGTCATTTTCAGTGTTTTTAGAGGTGCTGTTTCTGAATAACAAACCAGAATTCCATCAAACTGCGCAGACAAATTCATATAGCGGTGTATGTTTCTGAAAATGGGGGCAATAATTTGTCCGGGTTTATCATTTCTGGCATCTGAATGATCCAAGGTTGTATCTGAACATGAATTTTTTTCATGAAGTGACAGGATAAGATAATTTAGTCACATCAAACTCTCAAGATACACGTGAGGTATATCCGTATATGTGAAGACTGGTTCAATTGTCTGTGCTGCTGCAAGAAGCAAAAGAAAGTGTACAAGATAGGTCAAGGGGACTCCTTGTGTAACACTTCAGATTCAACTAACATATTTTTTACTAAAATACTTAAGATATAATCTGCATGGCATGTGTTCACCTTTCTTTGGTGCAACAACCTCTCTCTGATAAACATGATTAGTTGTGCTGGTTGAGTCAAAACACAGGATGACATATCTACAACAATATCAGAAATTAAACAGAAACCAATTAGTTTTGGTCTCATGTTGTCGAGTCAATAAAGAAACGAAATGTTCAGCTCTGCAAGTTATTAGCCAGGGAAAAATATCAAGAAATTAGAGGCTAAATGGTTGCTGGTTGAGGCCTTGAGGGTAACCTGTTGACTAGCTTAAATTGTAGCAACAACTAAACAGCTCCATAAAAGGAGGAGCACTTTTTTTCCTCTGCATATCTCCTCTCTTGTCTTCTTCTCTTCTCTCATCTGCTCTCATCATCTCCATTGCAACTTCTCTCTCCATTTGCTGCTCATATCAACTTATCAAAGGGAGGTAGGTAAGATATGCATATGCCCCACATGCTCACATGCTTGTGTTTCTTGTCTTGTTTCTTTTTTACTTTTGTTTTTGTTGTGTTACCCTGAAAGTTTAGTGGAATGAATGAGTTTTTAGCTGGGTCGGTTGAATGATGAGTTTGTTAGGGTGTTGTTTGCCATGAGTTAAGGGCATATGTGTTGTTCTTGGTCACCTGATTAGATTAGACCATGTTTTTTCTTCATTTGCAATAGTTTCGGCACATTTGGTTGGGATTCCTCCCTCAAAATTTCAGTAACTAGGAAGAAATTGGCCTGAGTTATGAATCAGTAGAAACCATGTTGCAAAACCATGTGTGGTCCATTTTTCTCTCTCTCTCTCTTAGTCCAAACAACACGTGAACTAGTATGAATTGAAGAAATTTCTGGGTTTTGTGTAGTTTTTCAGATGAAGGAGCTTGGCAGTGCTGAAGTTAGCATGAACTGCATTACATGGCTGTTCTGAATATGATCCAGGCAGTTCTAAGAAATAAAGAAATTAATCTTAGGCAATAAAATTGATAACTAGATTTGATAGATGGTGCGATAGGTCTTGGCGATTGCAACAACAATATATCAAGAGTCAATACAAATATACAATCATCTCTTTGATTTTGTGAATCTGATTCTGGTGGATTGCTTACATTTTCTCCCTTTCTACATGAACTGTTGTAGTGCAAGAGGAAGAACAAAACAAGATGTTTTTCCAGAGAAAGAATTCAAAGAAAGTGAAGGACTCCAATGGATCGTCGTCGAAGAAGGACAAAGATAGCCGCGGGAAGAACATTTTCGACAGTGCCAAGGGAGGACTTGGTGCCCTTACAGGAACTCTCCAGACAGCAAAGAATGGTTAGCCATTCCATTCATTTTTAGCAACAAAAAAACTACTTTACAGGAATGCTATTTATGTTGAAACAAGCCTGTTCGTCCTTTTGAGTTCAAGTATTAGCCATGATAGGAAGTATCTGACATTAATAGCATGTAAGAGTTTTGACAGCAATAAGGAAATACGAATGATTTGGGTTTGAACTTCGAATGCTTGACCGTCGAATTATGATTTGTGCATGTTGGTGTATTAACAGATGCCTGGATAGTACGATTGCTTGATTACCAACTCAATACGCTGATATTTTGTTGGCACACGTCCTGAGACAGACATGCAAATGCCCTTAAAAAGTGTCAAACACAGGAAAATAGAACAGCTAATATTACTATTTTTTATAGTGGGTAATATGCTACACACCTACACAAGAAAAATTCTGATACTCACATGAACATGTAATAATTAATCAAAGTAGAGAGAATGCACTACTTAATCAGAGATGAAGTTTTTTTTCTTTTTCTGTTTCAGAATTGAAATGAAAAGGAGTTCGTGCCTTGCATATTTCTTCACATTAGCTGTTCAAAGTCCTAATGGACAGCAGATCATATGTTGTACTTTCAATATTGTCATGAGTCCCTGACCTTTGAAATCGATCGGTAGATGCCGGAGAGAAGGCTGAAAACCTTCAAGATGATGTGAAGACAACCATCGGAGCAATCTTGCGCAGAGGATCTGGTGTTCTTGAGAAAGCCAAAGAGATTGGAGGCCATTCAGAGGCCAGCCAGTCCAAGGAACTAGGTAAATTACAGCACTACACCCAATTCAGAGTGACTTCTTCTCAATGAAATTCTTCCCATTATCTATAATAAAAAAATTAAAGTGACTTCAGAGTCCTGCATCTTACAAAATTGTATTCGAGAGGTGTTCTAGATTGATTTCTTTTCTTTGTTTTGCATGGAGAAATAGAAAAAGAATGAGTTGTTGGCGTGGTTCTAACTTTCAACTTCCAGTTGGACCCTGCACAATAATTCATAAAAGTTAGAGTAAATTTCACTTCGGGCCACCTTTTGTTACCTATGTTTCACTTTGGACCACCCTTTAAACAATATTTTCACTTTGGACTGGGTAAACTTACCTTTATTTCACTTTGGACCACCCAACTCTCTTCTCAAGCATATGAATGATCTTGATTACGCCGTCTCCTACTCGTCAATGAACTGCCACAGCTATATGTAAGACTATTTCTTCGACATATTACAAGTTGGATGTAGATGGATAAAAGAGTGAGGGTGGTCCAATGTGAAACAAAGGTAAAAATACCCGGTCCAAAGTGAAAACATTGGTCCTAAGGTGGTCCAAAGCGAAACATCGGTAATAAAAGGTGGCCCAAAGTAAAATTAACTCTAAAAGTTAATTACAGACTGAAACCAATTTCTAAGTTCAACAAAAAAATAATACATTGGGTACTTGAAAGTACTTGGCACTGAAAAGATTAGCTCCCAAAAAAAAATAATTCTACAGTAAGATTTACACTGTACCGTAAAATATAAAGTGGAAAAATGACAGATTGATGCTTTTGTTCTACAAATTAGGATGTGGTAGTCCCCTAAAAAAATTGAAACGTGATAAATACCACTAGATCATGGATGGAGCTACCTAATCTTTGCATCAACATACAACTTCCCTTATTAGGTGAGATATCCTTTTCAGATATGTATGCCCCCTTGGTAGGAAATCCGCAAACCATGTAATTAGCCAAAAAAAAAGAAGAAGGAGAAGACATAACAGATGGTTCTTTTAGAAGGTAGTAGTTCCACTGATCATTTGATTCAGATCATGAGAATCAGTAGGTAACACATTTTCAATAGAAAATGACTGAAAAGTTTTGGTTCAAATAGATAAACCACGGGAAACACCAAAGGAACACAGGCTGGTTGTTCTCCAATGATACCATGATGAATTTTGCAGCAAAACCCAGACGCTTAAATCTGAGAAAATGCAGAGGTTAACATGGAAAATGACTAACAACCAAAATTATGAGAAAAATTGACTAAGTTCTAATAATCACATGTAGGATTACTATTTGGAGTGTCCAGAGACCAAATTATGGTTTGCATTTGAGTATTCCATAGCTTGCAAGAACTTCATTTTTGCAGGATTGCAGTTCCCTAGCTTCAGAAGAATAGGTCACCTAGCCTATAGGATTACTTAGCTTTACTTCAAAGTAAAAGCTACTTTTGTGCACAATGATTATCTGGGATGTTGGGCATGTGTGGTTGAGGAAGTAGTACCTGATACCATTTTCCAGCTTTGCTTTTGTCCATAAAGAGAGCTGTTCATACAAAAGAATCACAACAAATTCACTACACATCTCATACCCAAAAGATCATTGCTAGCTAAATACAGGAAATATATTTTTATTTTAAATTCCTAAGAGACAATTACAGCTCAAGCAACATGTTCTTGTGTCCTTGGTTGGCCTCCATGTGACAGATGATTAGGTTGACCTTAGTACAACCAAACCCTCAACTCAGCTCAACTATTCCAATTTCCAACCAAGAAACCAGAAAACAAAATCCTAAATAGCACAGGATCCAACTATTATTCCTCATGCTCTTCTCTTAGGTTCTCTTAGGATCAAGTAAAACAAATAAAGATTCAGAGAAAATAAAATAATAACAATAAAAAAATCATCACCCTTTATGGTATTTGATTGACCCAGTTGGAGCAATGAGCCAATGACACTCTGTCAAAACTACATCGTGCAAGCCACACTGCAAAATCATCCTCGACCAACCACAATCAATGCCTGCAATTTGCCGGTGTCAATTTAGCTGTCACTCTCCAGCAACTGCCCTACCATGTATGATGCTCCTGTATTCTGTCTGTATATATATATCATACAGCACCATTAGCCTTTTTTAATCCAGATCAAGGGGCTCCATTAGTGCACCTATACAGAGACCCGAAACCAACAGCTCAGAATTTCTCAGTCTTCTCGTTCACATTGAAAGCTTGAAGCTTTCAGTCTTCTCTTCTGCAGCTCTGCTTAGCTTCCCCTGATTATCCCAAAGCTTCAGTTCCATCCAATCAGCAGCTTTGAACTGGTAAATGACTGTCTTTCTCTTTGCTTCGATTGATCCAAGACGTAAGATGAGATATTTTTGTTCTTGCAAGCTTTGTTTTCCTTTTTCTTTTACTTCGCTTTGACTGCATGATTGTAAGGGGATTGGACTCTCCTGCTTATATTTGGGAAGCATAGAGTGCTTTCCTTTCAATTTTATTTGTGACTGGGTGGTTCTCACCCTGGTTTGTGTTGATTAATGATGATTGCTTGATTGGGGTTCGCTGCTACAGTAAATCGGGTTTTGCTAGAGGATTTGGAAGAACATAGGACGAGTGTGATTCTTGATCACTCCACTTTGTTGTTGATTATAGTTCTTGTCTGAATTTCTTGTCATATAAGTTCTGCAGGAATTTTGTTCTATCCAGTCACTTCTTAATTCAGTTCTTGTTTACCTCCTTACTATCCATGAATTCTCATACCCAGTTAGAATTTATATATGTTGTTTCTGAATTTATATATGCAAACATTGTGCTTTGCAGTTTCTTGATAGCATAACACGAGGCCAATCGATACGCCATGTTTTCTATGCTCCTGAAAATTGCAATCAGAAACAAGCGTCATTTGTATCAGTAGTAACATGCTTATTGTCATCTTAGCAGATGCAATTGACAAACCTGAAGGATCTTTTGTGATGTTCCTGACATTAAAATGCTAAGGATAGGCTTTTCTGTTACTCTTCTGACTACATAGCATTCCCTGATAAGAACTCTTGTTGAATTTTCACAGAGCAAGGAAGTGAAGAACAAGGAAAGAAAGATATGGAAGCCTTAACCAAAGTCATGGACAAGGTCAAGGAAGTGAAGAGTAACCCAGAAGTGGTGGAGAAGCTGGACAAGGTCAAGGAAGACATCAGCAGCCTTGCTCATGCTTTACATCTGGGAAAACATGGTAAATCTTTCTTTTGAGATGTCTTATTTCCTAGGATAGGATAATCATATTTCTGACAACTATATGGTTGCATGATAAGTAGGCATTTCATTATTTACGCGTATTCCCGAAAAAGGAAGCACATCTCATTGTCACAAATAGAACTATAGAAGCACTTGCATTGTGTATAGTCCGAACATCCAAAACCTGAATATTAACTTTTCTTACATCTTTTCCCATAATTTTACACATGATCAAAAGATAAGGAACATGAATCTGAGGAGAAGGCAAAGGAAGGTGAGACTGCGAAAAGGGCCGACGAGGGCGCCTCTGCCAGCAAGTCTGAAGATTCAGGTGTGGTAGTACAAGCTGTGGAAGAGATTCAGGCCGTTGTCACAGCTGTGCAGCAGCAGCTGCACACAGAAGGAGCTGCAGCTGAAACTCCCAATGAGGCTGCTGCTGCTGAAACTTCAGCAGAAGGAGAGAAGCCTGAAGAATCAAAGAGAGATGTAGAGAAGGATGATCCGTCGAAGCGGCTCGACTTCAAGGGCTTCTTTGCCATGATATTTGAGAGGTGCTGCAACCCTGGGAACAAGAAGAAAGATTAAGCTTGGAAGAAAATGATGTGGATTTTTTTTGTTTTTTTGTTTTTGTGTGTGTGTTCTTGGAGACTGAAGAATGATGTGCATGGGATTGTGGGATGGTGTACAGTTTGCAGTTTGTGTGTTTTCTTCAGAGTTAATTGTCTGCTTTTGGTGTTTTATCCTTTTATGTGTTGATGGATGTATGTCAAAGAGTACTTTGTGAAATTCTTGTTAGCCTTGTGAGCTTGATCTTACTTATGTGAATGAAAGAATTTATTTATTTATTTTAAAAAAGGGCTTCCTGTGCTTAGAACAAAAATGCAATTCCTTTGGTTAGAATGATGGTCTGAATTGAAGCTGTGGATTAACAAAACACTGAACCATTTCCTTATTTATTACTCCTCTAAATGATGTGTAGATTGTGTGATTGAATTTCAGTGGCAACTAGTTTACGCCCTGTTCCTTTTTTACATTATCATGGGCGCACTTCCCAGGTTTCATTTGTAACCTCAAATATTATCACAAAATCAGATAAATCTATCATCCATTCATCTATTCAGACAAGAACTGGAAGTGCCAAAGAGAAAATCAACCAAATGAAGCTCCAGAGGCTGATTAAATTTAAGAGCCACATGGTGTTTACCCTTTCATATTTCATGATCTCTGCTTCCAAAATATTACTTACAAATAGTTGATGTATTAAGTAGAAAATACTGAAAAGGGATCTCTAATTATGGTTAATACTAGTATATGTACAACCCATGCAGGGTACTCTCAGTTGCAATATTTGATCAAATTGTATAATACAGGTAGCACATTCAATACACAAGCTTATCCAAGTCTACAGTAACTCAAATGACTATCATTATTTACAAATCAAACAGTTAATTACGACTTATCTCCCTCCTATGCAACATAGCGATAGAATTTATGATTGAAAATACAACGCCACCGGGTGGAGTTTATTGAATTCACTTTGTCCTGATACAATTAGGCCAGTGCCGTTTCATGCGTTACCAGACGATTGATAAAGTCTCTCTCGGGGTGGCACTCTCAGCAAATTCTTCATCATGTCATATGTTGTGAAACCAATAGCAACCGAAGGGACGACCTGAAAACATGATAAGTTCATATTTTGGATATCACTGCATATTTAAGATCAGTTTGAAATGAGCATCTCTGTTGTCCCTATTCTTCAATAGATGCACATAACTGAAACAGAATAAAAGTGACCTAGTACACTTCCTTTTTTATTTTGCCTTCTCTCTATAGGAAACTCAGTTGGGATTATTACCTTCACATAGTTAAGGCTTAGGCCAGCGAAGAGTTGCCTCCACCCCTGGCACCTAATAATGAGTGCTAGACCCTGAAATGTCCCTCTTATACGGAAGGCATCGTTCGCATTATGGGGCTGCTTATTCTGAACCTGAACGCAGGACAGGTGAAGAATTAATCAGGCATTGCAATCTAAATTATAACGCACAGATTATCTTTGACTGAGAGTTTAATTTGTACCTGCATCTGTCTTCGGACAACATCCAGTGGATAAGTGAGGGTTTGCCCAAAAAGACCAGCTAAAGCACCACAAGAGAGTTTCAATACAACAGATCTCTTGTAATCCTCTGGAACTCGCGATTTCAGGTCTTCATATATATAGAATTTTAGTCCAGCATATGGTAGGATACCGATCAGAGTTGGGCCTGAGATTGATTAGAAGAAAAAATTTTAACACAACTGTACACGGACTAAATAAATTCTAAGATAATATCTCAATACAAATTTTCCCTTCTAGTACAGTAACCACAATAACGAGGAATTTCATATACAAAGGTTTCAGCATACAAATGGTGTTAATTTATTGTAAGCTACAGTCATATATGGCATCCTGGCAACTGTCTTTTAGATCACCAAAATAGAGTCTTGATTCATTGGAACTAGAGGGTGACTAAACGATGGTGCCTTTGTTTTAGAATACACTGCAATTCTGCATGCTTATGGGTCATTAATCTGAGCTTGCTGAACAGAAAACTTGAAACAGAAGGTGGATTTTAGGTCCTATGTGGATATGAACCTATTTTGGTTTGTCTGCCTGCTTACTTAGAAAATCCTTAGATGTGCAACATGTTGGAACAAGTGTGCCAGCAAAAAAAATTGTGCAAAATGTGTTTCGTCTTTTTGTAGTACACATTGTTTTTTGAAGGGCATAAGTGCCCAAAATGACCAAAAAGAAAACATAGGTTCATGTACAATCAGTTGTTCATTTTGATTTCTTCCTTGATGCAGTCTAAAGAAAGCTGCACAACATGCGCAGCACTAGATTATGCAGACTATGCAACAATGCAGCAGATCAGAAGAAATATGATTTTATGTTACGCTCACACTAACAAACCTAAAGATGCTAACTTCAACCATAGCAAAGGGAGTTGTCAGACAGGACGTACCTACTCCACGGTATAAAGCTCGTGCGCCTCCTTCCTTGTAAACAGTTTTGAAAACGTCCTTGATACCACCATATGCTGGCTGTCTACCAGCATTTCCCAAAGCATTGCCAGGTTGGCCCACATTTGAAACCTAGAGCAATTATGAAGAAAATTATTACATACAATCCATGGCCAATGGCTCCTTAGCAAGGATGGCATCACAGAAACTACTAATATTTGCTGGAAAATACTAGCGAACTACTAATGCTGATTGTCGAATAATTTCAGTGATAGTTCTACTGAGAGAGATTCTTGACTACTAAAGATGACAATCAACAAAGCATTAGGATGGGCATGCAATACCTGATATGCCAGCTTTGTCCTAGCAAGGTCTAATGGGTAGGTACATAGAACTGCAGTCCCACCTGCGGCTGAGCCAGCCAATAGATCAACCACAGGCCCTGTACCCACTGATGGAGCAAAATTATTCAATATCCAGCACCGATACTGCTCATAAGTCATGTAATGCAATGCCGCATATGGAACAATCCGAAGCACACTGGCGCCATTCCCCCTTCATGAACAGTAAGTAACACGAAATAAAAATTAAGATACTAAATTGAGCAGCCAGAGCCTGAGGTAAGGTATTTTCTCCATGTAACTTACTTGTAGAAGCCTCGAATTCCCTCATACTGCCACAGCTTCCTCAATGATTGGAGGATACCAAGGGATTGAAACCCATGAGTTCTGGTCTAGAAAGCAACAGCATACGTACACTCAGAAATTGGCATAAGCTGAGATGTCATTCAGCTACCACATAATAATGAAATGGAACTCTGAGCAGTTCAAACCTGCAGTAAGATCTTGACCCTCTCCAGCGGCGCTACCGCAGTCTTTGCGAATGCACCGGCTGCACCCCCGGCGATAAGCTCCTTGGCGTATACCGGGAGCAAGTCCAGCGCGCAGGCATTCACCTGCGCGGCCGTTGAGGCGGAGGAAAAAGTGGATTCCTGTGAGGAACCCATCTCTTCTCCCCCAACTTGACAGGCAGATCAGAATGCGTATTATCTGCCCTCCCCACCACCACTAACATTAACATTAAATCAACTCAGTTGCCAAGGATATCTTTACAGTGCCGGAATCTCCCAATAGGATATGCTCCCGCAATCGGCAATCCAAATGGAAAACCAAATCCCTAATAACCTAACCTTTTTTAGTCTGCGTCCGTCCTAACCACTTGCGCTAATAGCCGCGCGAATAGGTTTAATCGAAGGATAAGCTAGAATCTCGCAGGAAAGAGGAAAACGCAAAGCGGAATCCAATCTCTACGCTCCCCAAAGGTAATAAACTAAATCGGAGATAGCTGTTGTAGCATAAGCTGCAAACCCATATGAAACAACGCATTCACCTCCGAAATCGCCAGCTCCTTCTGATCATCAAGGAAAGCAACAACTGTACAGTGGTTGCATCAACAGAGAGGAATCGGTCCAGAATCTAGCGGAATACTGGTAGTAGGCAAATCAATTAACCAGATCTCGCGGAGAGGGTCCGGCTCCCCCGGTGGCGATCGCAGGGAGGCGGCGATCCCTCTCCTCTCCTAGCCCATCGGCGGCGGCAGCGGCCTAGGCGCCGCGGCGGGGAGCGGAGGAGAGAAGGGTGGTGGTGGTGGTCGGCGGCGAGGTGGAGCTCCCTGGCATCCAAGTGGCGGCGAGGATTTGCGCGGGGAGGAAGAAGAGTGATAGGACTACTCATCAAATGCGGAGGATTTTGCGGGGAGCAGAGGGCACAGGGTTCGATCGAGAGAGTTCGAGAATTCGAGATCGAATCTGCCGCCGTGGGTTTGGGTGGGGGAGGAGGAGGAGGAGAGCTGCGGTGCGGTGCGGCCGCGAGCGAATCGGGAGGAGGAATGCGTGTGTTGCTTGTTTCGCGCTGGCAGTGGCGTACTGGCGTCGCGTGTGTGGGGAGGACGACGTGGGGGACGGTCACGGTCAGGCCCGTGCTGCTGCTGCTGATGGAGGAAGGGGAAAGGGAGAAAGGTGGGGGCGGTTCCGCGTGCAAAACGCGAACGTGTAGCGCTGTAGCAACCACGCTAGTCACTCCCCCTGTCCCCCACCCTTTCCTCGCAGGAATCACAGGCAGCAGCGACAGCGATGTAAAATGAGAGAGGATCTAAAATGTGTGAATTAAAGTAGAGGGTACTAAAGATAATCTTTTTATTGAAGTATAGGTTCTACTGTGTATTACTCCCTCCATCCCAAAATGTTTGACGCCATTGACTTTTTTTAAAAATGTTTGACTGTTCGTCTTATTAAAAAAAATTAAGTAATTATTAATTCTTTTCCTATCATTTAATTTATTGTTAAATATGCTTTTATGTATACATATAATTTTACACATGTCACAAAAGTTTTTGAATAAGATGAACGGTCAAACATATTTAAAAAAGTCAACGGCGTCAAATATTTAGGGATGGAGGGAGTATATTACAAGTAGTAGTATCAAGTCTTAGCAAATAGCAAACCATCTCTTACCGTAGAACTGACACTCTAAATAAATAAGAATAATAATCCTTTTTTACATGGTGGCAGCCTGCCAGGCAACCGTTACAATCTACATTGTCTACAAATACGGCGGGTAAAATTGTTGAAGCAACGGTAATCCCTTTTCCTCATAGGAATCACATGCAGCGAGAGGGATGTATTGAGAACATCATCAGGTGGGTTTTATGTCACTGTGCTAGCGTGTGATTACACTGTTCACGGATAGATGACGAGGATGCATAGAAACGAGTGTCCATCCAGCTAGAAGATTCTCGTCTACGTAAGCCACTATCGTGCTCCCACGAAGCCACTTGTATCTTGGCGAAGGCATGGATGCCATGCTGCTAGTGAAGTGTCCTAGCGTAGGGCAACGTTCACGCGGCTGAGAAATTTCAGGACATCCCCATCCATCACCATCCCCAAAATATGTGATATGCTCGCGCAACCAAGCCATAGAGGACTACCATACATCAACTGCCATAAGCATATCATCGTCAGCTCGAGGTGCGTTGTCACCGAGACAACTCTGTCATGCCACGATGGATGGGTAAGGAGATCGCAGTGGCTGAGAAGACCACAACTTGGTGACGGGGAGCGTGTGGTCAAAGCGGGGTAGGAAGGGGTGGTGGCGGCGGGTGGTGTCGTCATCGATGACGGGAGTAGGGGCCAGAAGGGAATGACGGAGAGGTGATGACCCAATCTACCCCATATTATGGGGAGCTCATTGACCACCATCCTTATTGGCTTCTTCCGCACCGAGATGGTGGCATGGTGCCGGCGCCAACTACGGGTGGAGGATGGTGATGGTAAGAGGAGTAATATTTTATATTATTTTGTAGTTTTGAGGGTGTTGAGTGCAATGTTTCGGAGTACTAGTGCAATAGAAGGGGCTAAAATACAAAATATTTATAGGTCCCACCCGTTCGTTTCTCTTCTATTGGAGATTTTTCAGGACAAGTGGAATAAGAGAATTCATTAGCACATGTTTAGTTAAATATTAACTATTATAAACTTTAAAAAATAAATTTATTTTAAAAGCACATCATTTAATAGTTAAAAAACATGCTAACAGAAAATTAAAAAAGGTTGATACTGTGGCGAATAGACGAGTAGAGTGAACACGAGGAAAGGCATCTATAAAAACATCTTCCCCATTTGTCCTCCTAAAATGAGCTGGATGGGCTGAATCTTGATGGACTTTTAAGCCCACTCAGCTATTTCCCTTTTCTCACAAAACATTTCTTTCTTTCTGTTTAGGTCCAAATCTACACGTAAATTCAATCTTTTTTTCAATTCTTTTTTATGCCACTTACTAATACTAGTGATCTATTGAAATATTTTTTTCTGAAATCGATTGTTCCCAGATAATCAGCATGATTAATCTGCTAACTAGCTTCGCACGTGCACAACATCTAGCTTTCTCTGCTATTTCTTAGCTAGTTTGACTTAACACACGTTGTACGTGTAGCGTGCAAGACTTGGTCAAGATGGCACAACATAATTCTTATTTAAACATGTAAATGAACATATATATTGGCACGCATGTGGTAGAGCCCTTGAATATTCAAACATACTACTCCAGAATGCGTAACACGTTAATTAAGGATATATCGACACCTGGCTCATCTAGATGACATGCATCAATCGACTGATTAATTATTAAACACGTAAGTGTAGCACAGGTAAAGATCTAGCGAAAGACATACTCCCTCCATCTCTAAATGTTTGACACCGTTGATTTTTTTAAACATGTTTGACCGTTCGTCTTATTCTAAAACTTTTGTGAAATGTGTAAAACTATATGTATACATAAAAGTATATTTAACAATAAATCAAATGATAAAAAAAATTAATAATTACTTAAATTTTTTAAATAAGACGAACGGTCAAATATTTTTAAAAAATCAACGGCGTTAAACATTTTGGATGGAGGGAGTATATAGCTACAGTTAGCTAGTCGCTGCCAAAAAAAAAAGGGTAAGCTCGGTAAGTCAAAGTCTAGCGTCGCACGTGTTTGTGTACGTGTGTGTATGCGTGTAACAGCTAAATACTACCTCTTTTAATAGATGACGTCATTAACTTTTTCTCACATGTTTGACCATTCATCTTATTTAAAAATTTTATGCAAATGTATAAGATATAAATCACACTTAAAGTACTATAAGTGATAAAACAACTCATAACAAAATAAATTATAATTACGTAATTTTTTGAAAAAGACGAATGGTCAAATATGTGAGAAAAAGTCAACGGCGTAATCTATTAAAAAACGGAGGAAGTACATATTAGTATAACTCGAGTGCGCGTTCCCATTTTATTGAAAAAAAACAATGTTGAACCAAATGCACTTGTATAAGCTATGCATTTTTGAAAATGCTCAAAGGGCCTGTTTGGTATAGCTCTAGCTTCTAAATATAACTTCAGAAATTGAGTTTGGAGTGGAGTTGTGGAGCTACCTAAACCCAGCTCCACAACTCTAGTACATTTTGTGAGAGAGCTCCACCCAACTCCACTCCTAGTTTTAGTGGAGCTGAAACTGTTTGGCTGTGCTCCAGCTTCAGAAGGGGTGGAGCTGGAGCTGGAGCTATGCCAAACAGGTCCAAAAGCTTGAAATATGAAGTAGGAGTTCAAATAGGGGGGTCTCAAACCGACCGAGGATATTTGTGAACAATCTTTCAGTAATTTCCAATCAAACTTTGGGAAGCTCTCATTCAAGAAGCACGGTTTTCCCCCCCAAAGTTTCCACAATGTTCTGGCTGAAACCAAAAGAAAACTGGAGCTCAACACTCAATCATCGTTGCATTTGGCACCTTTTCGTATAAACGTGGTTGCAAAATAACCTCGGTTCTAACATCTATTTTCTTAGCTATGAAACTCCTTTCTTTTTGAATCCATTCAACTAACTATTCTGTATTGTTTGTTTTCCTCTCTATTTCAAAACTAAGTGGAAAAAGAAAATCCAACATATTTTTTTTAGAAAATTTTCAATCAAGTAATAAAAAACAGAGAGATAACTAAAGAATACAATCCATGTTGGATTATCAACAAACTAGTCTCTAAACCGCGCACTGCAAAGCTATTATATTAATATTTATATACTAAGTCTTTTTTTTAGGATAATTAAAGGGATTTTTCTGATATGGTACATTTGAAATTAATAATATCGAGTTGTATTAGGGTTGAGTCTTAGTGCTAGCTTTTTCATGTATTAATTTATAAGGTTAAGATTCAAAATCAATAAAAACTAAGTTCTATTCGAATTGGTAGATTTGACATGATTTAATAAATTTCAAAATTCTTAATTAATAATAACGAGTTGTATCCGGTTAATTTGGGGTCTCAATTATAATATTTTTCATGTTTTCACTATTTTATAAAATTCAGAATCAATAATTGCAAAATTTACTCAATATGGTGGAGTCTTACCTGCAGCTTTTCATGATTTGATAGTTCCTAAATTCATACTCCTATACTAATCGGTTAGTTTTAATGTGGCCCGTGATGTAAAATACGTAGATCATGATAATATAATTCATCTAGTTATCTTTAGAACAAATTAAAAAAACAATTTGTACACATATACATTTTTCTGGCTCATAATGTTCTATCATCTAGTATTAATGGATCACCGTCAAGGTAGGTACCCTTATTGAAGAAATTTTACGGTCCATAAGAAAATATACCAAAGTTTTATACTAAAGAATTTGGTATCTTAGATATGGATTGGGATTCGGTGACATTGCTCCGGTGACATTCCCCGTGACATTGAGTCACTGACGTGTGGGACCCACGTGGGTCCCACATGTCAGTGACTCAATGTCACCGAGAATGTCACGGGGAATGTCACTGAATCTGCGTCCCTTAGATATACCAAGTGTTACACAATTTAAAATTACCCTATTCTAAAAAAACAGTTGATCTCCATGTCTTTTAACATGGGTGGGTGATTGTAGTGTACGTACTAATGGTGTGATGGTAGGGAATCGAGGTAGCAAGGCGACCGGTAGAGACGACGCGACGAACAAGTCGGCGAGGTGCACCCGTGGAGGTGATGCGGCGGGAGCTGCTGGTGATGGACACGCGGTGCACGGCGGTGGAACCAGCGCCGTTGTGGCCAAATATTCAACCCCACCTCCCCTGCAACTGGATTCGGTGCCCCCGTGCCGGATTTGGCTGGAGTAGCGGAGCAATGGTAGTGAAAGGACAGCAATCGCGGATAGCAAGGAGTTCACGGCATGGCGGCAACGGCAAGTGATGGGTGCTGGTGAGGTTGATATGAAAGGAGGAGGTTGCTGACTGAGATGGTGGCCGGTGTGGGTGACGGTGGCATGGGCTACGGGAGGCAGCGTTGGCGGCACAAAAGACCTGACAAAGGCGGGTCTAGGGTGGTCGGCAGTGGAGCTGCGAGTTGGTAGAGTTGTTTGGGTGGCTGAACTTTAGAGTGGC